AGGAGGCGGAGGTTGCAGTGAGCCAAGATCACACCATTGCACTCCAGGCTGGTGACAAAGTGAGACTCCGTCTCAAAAAAAAAAAAGATAAAAGAAATTGTGCATGCATCTCACCTTCTGAAATGTTACTCATTGCTCGCTGACTTTCTGTTGCAGAATATTCAGGAGACTGAGGAGGATTTTATTAAGGTGGCCACTGGCTTAGTGGATTAGCATTTCAAGGCGGAACGCCTAACAAAGACAGGGCTTGGCTTTTTATACATCCAGGATGATGTAGCAGCTAACAGGTTTACAGAAGCCAGAACAAAGAATAGTTAATCTGTAACATATCCTGTGATGTACGTTACATTTGAAAATAGCATTTTTTTTTTTTTTTTTTTTTTTTTTTTTTTTTTTTTGAGACGGAGTTTCGCTCTCTTTTCCCAGGCTGGAGTGCAATGGCGCGATCTCGGCTCACCGCAACCTCCGCCTCCTGGGCTCAGGCAATTCTCCTGCCTCAGCCTCCTGAGTAGCTGGGATTACAGGCACGCACCACCATGCCCAGCTAGTTTTTTGTATTTTTAGTAGAGACGGGGTTTCACCATGTTGACCAGGATGGTCTCGATCTCTCGATCTCGTGATCCACCCGCCTCGGCCTCCCAAAGTGCTGGGATTACAGGCTTGAGCCACCGCGCCCGGCTTTTTTTTTTTTTTTTTGAGACAATTTCCCTCTGTCACCAGGCGCCAGGCTGGAGTGCAGTGGTGCAATGGCTCACTGCAACCTCCGCCTCCCAGGTTCAAGCAACTCTCCTGCCTCAGCCTCCCAGGTAGCTGGGACTACAGGTACATGCCACCACGCCCAGCTAATTTTTGTATTTTTTAGTAGAGACGCAGTTTCACCATGTTGGCCAGGATGGTCTCGATCTCTTTCTTGACCTTGTGATCCCCCTGCCTCGGCCTCCCAAAGTGCTGGGATTACAGGTGTGAGCCACCTTGTTCAGCCGAAAATAGCATTTTGAGAAACATATTGCACATTATTTGTGTGCTATCTTGCCCTGTGACCTTGCAGCTGGTCTGCAAGAAAAACAGGAGTCTTGAGATGCCTGGGGACTTTACTGAGAATGTGGGGAGAATAGATAAGGGAGGTTTTACAGGGAGTTAGTTAATTTTAAGCAGAGCTGGGGGTTAGGTTTTATATTGAAAACAACACAGTAAACTTTATTATGCAGCAATTACAGACTACTATTGATATTATTTAATTTCCCTCTTCATTTCAGCAGCTGGCCAGACTCCTAAACTGTTCAAAACATCTAAAAACAGGGAATGTTTTCTCAGTTGCTGGAAGAAACAAAAGCTTAGATCATTAATTATTTTTATAACAGGGAATCAATTATAGTAACTTTAAAATAATGAGATGTGATTTAAAATGTTAAATTCAAATGCTTACAAATGAAATACACCCTTTCTTCTTGAAACTGAAAACTAAAAGTCATTGACACGTGTTTTGACTTAAAGAGAAAAGCCCAGCTGTATCCTCCAGCTACATCAGAGCCCCTGTGGCTAAGAGTACATATAAAAAACTCATTCAGAAACTGAATGAGATGTGACTTTTCCCTACCACTTGGCTATATGGTCCTGGCAACTGATAGCTTGGAAGTGATTGATCAATTTGGATACTCAGCTGTAATGAAGCCTCTTGGTTTAGTAGTAGTAAGGCAGAAAAGCATCAAGAAATCTTAATTCTGGCTGGTCCAATGATAGTGGGTTATCAGAACTTATTAATATTGGTGTCACTAAAGTTGGTATACAACCGCCCACTGCTAAATTTGACTGGCTTAAAAAAAAAAAGAAATCTTAATTCTGATTTTGGGTATTTCAGTGGTGGAAAAAAGTTCTGGATTCTATGAGTGCCAGGCAGTAGCATATCCACAGCTTCTGGAATCATTTCATACAATTTCCATTATGGGATAGAAGCTGAAATCAGCATTGTCTATTATTTGGTTGTGAATTACTGGACATTATTGACATCTGTGCTTTCTGAACATTACTGCTGAGTTTCAATTGTCATTCCCATGAGAATGGGTACATCAGGCGTCCCCAAACTTTTTACACAGGGGGCCAGTTCACTGTCCCTCAGACCGTTGGAGGGCTGCCACATACTGTGCTCCTCTCACTGACCACCAATGAAAGAGGTGCCCCTTCCTGAAGTGCGGCGGTGGGGGGGGGGGGCGGGATAAATGGCCTCAGGGGCCGCATGCGGCCCAAGGGTTGTAGTTTGGGGACACCTGGGGTACATTTTCCGACTCCTAAGATGTCCCTTTTGTTGCATGTCCTTGAAAGTTGATGCCCCATGAGAGCCCAATTTAATTAACCTTTGCTACAATTCACTGGGGGCAAAGATTTGGCAGTAATTAATTTTTTAAAAAAGATTTATAGGTCTGAGAAAGTACTTCCAAAAGAGGTAGGTGGCAGAAGCCAGTGGTGCTGGGAAAGATGTTTATGGCCTAAATTGAGCCCAGCTGTGGTGAATGCACATTGGCTTTTAATGGAAATGCAGTGGTTGAATAACCTTCCTCCATTAGCCTAACACCATGGAAATAAGGATAATCTGAGCAAGGTGGTGACCTCCACTAACAAACTGAAAAAGGTAATTCCTGGAATTAAAGTTACAAGGTGAAAAAACCCTTGTGCTTGACTTAAATCCTCATTAACAAATATTAATGTTTCCAGAACACTAACTACTAAGAGAAAATGGGCAAATACAGGAATACCAAAAAACAAACAAACAACAACAGAAAAAAAACAGAAAAAGAAAAAACTGTCTTCTCACTAGAAGGAATAGAATATACAACTATTTTTTTTTTTAAAGAAAAAGACATTAATTTTGTTAAATAAAAACAGCTACGGTCACTAATTGAAATTTGTGGGAAGTTTTGTTAAGTTCTTTGCTTGTTAGAGTGGAAATCAGTTAATCAAATTTGTATTCAGAAGCGCAGACGCAGCCATTTTCAGTGTGAATCCTGTGCACTTTGACAAATGTTGGAAATGTTTTCTTCTAGAAAAATTGTTAAACACAGAGACAAGGTGGTTGCAAACATTTCTTGCCCCTTTTCATGAAGGCTCTCAAAGCATCCTGTGAACTGAATAAAATTCAAGTGTCTGCACTGTTCATGGTAAGCATTCCAAATAAATATACCCTTGTGGGGTTTTTGCTTCAGAAATTGCCTTGTGGCAGGGCATGGTGGCTCATGCCTATAATCCTAGCACTTTGGGAGGCCGAGGCGGGCAGATCGCTTGAGTTCAGCCTGGACAACATGGTGAGATCCCGTCTCTACCAAAAAAAAAAAAAAAAAATTATCCAGGCATGGCGAGGCCCGACTGTAATCTCAGCTACTTAGGAAGCAGAGGGGGAAGGATCGCTTGAGCATGGGACATTGTGCCAGACTAGGCAACAGAAGACCCTCAAAGTAATAATAAAATTAAGTTTAAAAAAATTAGCCTGTAGGGCCGGGTGCAGGGGCTTACGCCTGTAATCCCAGCGCTTTGGGAAGCAGAGGCAGGTGGATCACCTGAGGTCAAGAGTTCGAGACCAGCCTGGCGAAAACCCACCAACACGGTGAAACCCCACCTCTACTAAAAATACAAAAAATTAGCTGGTAGTGGTGGCGCACGCCTGTAGTCCCAGCTACTCGGGAGGCTGAGGCAAGAGAAACGCTTGAACCCGGGAGGTAGAGACTGCCGTGAGCCCACACTGCATCACTGCACTCCAGCCTGGGCAACAAGTGCGAAACTCCATTTCAAAAAAAAAAAAAAGTTATTCAGCCGGGCGCGGTGGCTCACGCCTTTAATCCCAACACTTTGGGAGGCCGAGGCGGGCAGATCGCCTGAGGTAGGGAGTTCCAGACCGGCCTGATCAACATGGTGAAACCCCGTCTCTACTAAAAATACAAAAATTAGCCGGGTGTGGTGGCGCGTGCCTGTAATTCCAATTACTCGGGAGGCTGAGGCAGGAGAATCGCTTGAACCCAGGAGGCGGAGGTTGCGGTGAGCCGAGATCGCGCCATTGCACTCCAGCCTGGCAACAGAGCGAGACTCCGTCTCAAAAAAAAAAAAGTATTCAATAACTAATTTTCATATTTTTAAAAAAGTTAGAGACGCACAGAGGGAGAAATACCGAATCCCACACAGGTGCGCACGCACACTGGTCCCGACTTCCGGAACCAACCTCACCCGGGGGCCTAGCCGTCCCCGCGCCACGGCACGGCCGTCGCCCGCACCTTCCACACTCTCAACGTAGGGGGAGGACAGGTTCCATCAGCAATTTAATACAAACCATTGGTGAAGCACAGAAAAAGAATATGACAATCTCTTATACTGTTTTTCTTTCTATTTTTCTCTTTTGTGTGGTCAGGGAGCTTTAAGTTGGCTATATTTACCCTCAAATCTCTTTTTGAAATGGTTTTTTAAGTTTCAGCATTGCCACCCCCCACATTTAATGAAATGGTTTCCCCCAGCAGCCCTGCCCGGTGCGGTCTGAACCATTCGGCGCTTCTCGGAGAGAGGCACGGAATAGGGTCGGCGGGAAAGGTGGTTGTCCGGCAGGGCCCTTGCTTCTTCGTCAGACCTCGGAGTGGCAGGACTTGGGATGTGTTCCTGGGCGTGTGGGAGCTGGCGAGGTGTGGCTCGCTTCGCGGTCCAGGACGCTCTCGAACGGCTCCCGCGTCCCCACCGCAGAGCTAGGCGGTGGTACGGCCCGGAAAGTCACGCGCCTGGGTCTCCGCGGGGCTCCGGGACCACGGGTGAGTGTGGCAGTTCCTGGCTCTGCCAGCTCCCCTGCGAGCCCGAGCCGGGGCTGAGAGCCTCGTCACCCCGGCTAGCGTCCCTGACGTGGGCTCGGGAGCCTGCCTGTGATCCCGCCAGTCCGGGACCTGCAGCGACCACCTACCCGGCGCAGTCAGGGTCGGGGCTGGGACGCGGAGTGGGACCCCGGCTGCTGGGTGCAGGTGTCCCGCGGGTCTGGATTGGGGAGCTGGTGGGCGGGGCCTGCGGGGTTGGCGGAGGGGCATGAGCGAGTTTGCGTTGGTCCCGGGTGGACTAGTAATGGGGGAGGGCTTAGGGATAGAGTGCAGGGCGTCGCCGAGACCCTGAGATTTGAAGATAACGTTGGGGGCACGCCCATTAACCAAGTCTGTAGGGATGAGGATTTTGACCTGGGTTCAAACCCCGGGTCAAGGTCGTTGATTTATTCTCATTTGACGTTGCCATGAAACAGGACTGTTTGCCTTCCCTTCTCCCAGGTTTTGTCTTCGCTCTCTGTTTGGAAGAGAGGCTGTGTGGCATCCTTTTCTCCCAGTTGGCGTTCAGGAGGGCCCTCTAATGCGCCAATAGGGTAGCAACGTGTCCTCTAGGGAGGATGGAAGACGGCGCTTCTCTCCAGTTCAGAGTATTGTCAGTTGTGTCTTTATCACCTGGAAAGAATTGACTGGCTTGTAGATTGAAGTCCAAGGTGTGGTCAGCAACAGCCATGGGGATAAAGGGGAAGGAGGAGCTTGCTGGAATTAGGTACTGGCTCTGCACCCTTTGGCCACAGCCAGTTTACTGCCGGATTATCACCGTAGTCATCAAAATTGAGTAATAGTGGCAGGTGACACTGTGTTTGCCCTTCTAGTGTCCATTGTCAGGGAGCTCTGTGAATGGAAATCCAAGGGAATGGTGGAAATAGAGCCACAGTGAGAGTGGGTCTGAGCTGGCAGTAATCCCCTGCAGAACTTTTCACCCTGAGCTTGTTGGGATCCCAGCTGCTGACTTCATGAGGCTCCCCAGTGGGAGACTAGTTATAGAAGATGTGTGTCTGCAGGGTGTGGTGGCTGACGCCTGTAATCCCAGCACTTTGGGAGGTCAAGGTGGGCAGAACACGAGGTCAAGACATCGAGATCATCCTCACCAACTTGTTGAAGCCCTGTCTCTACTAAAAATACAAAAATTAGCTGGGCATGGTGGTGTGCACCTGTAGTCCCAGCTGCTTGGGAAGCTGAGGCAGGAGAATCACTTGCACCTGGGAGGCGGAGGTTGCAGTAAGCCGAGATCGTGCCACTGCACTCCAGCCTCAGGCTGGCAACAGAGTGATAAGTTGTCTTAAAAACAAACAAACAAACAAACAAAAAACTAGCTGGGTATGGTGGCTTATGCCTGTAATCCCAGCTACTCAGGAGACTGAGGCAGGAGAACTAGGAAGTCAGAGGTTGCGGTCAGCTGAGATTGCGTCGTTGCAGTTCAGCCTGGTGACAGAGTAAGACTCTGTTTCAAGGAAAACAAAAGTGTTTTATTTTGTTGTCCACTGCTGGTTAAGATCCGTTACAGTGCCTTATTTATTTATAGAGTGCCCTTAGTGTTCTCTTTAATTCTCCATGGTGCTATGAAAAGACCATAGGAAGTAGGGGTGAAATAGACCCAGGGCCAGGGCACACCACAGGTCAGGTGGTGAAGTAGGTCACTGTCCAGGTCCGGGACTCAGCCATTGTGGGAGGGGGATGTGGACAGACTACCACGTCAGGGCATTTGAATACTGTCTTTGGGTATGATGAAGAAGAGATTCAGCCAGGGAATTTCAGCTTCCTCTGTAGGTTCTCGAAAGCTTGTTGGAAACATTGTGAGACATACTCAAACCGGTTTGTTTTCTTCAGCAAACACCTGGTAGAGATTGGAATTGAAGAGTGAGTAAAGAACTGACCTCATGCTGCCCAGAGTTCTGATACTATGTGTAGTGTGAATCCTGAGAGGCTCTGTTTCTCAGCTTTTGGGTGGTATTCAGAGAGGTCCAGTAACATTTGGTGTCACCTGGCTGGTGAGGACAGGCTCCCATGGACCACAAAGCTAAGTGCTCTCTAGGGCACCTCCTTCTCTTTCAGGGGCTACCTGGGCCTCTGGCACGCATAGAGTCAGAGCTCTCGCCCAACAAGTGCATTTTTTTTTTTAAGACAGAATTTCACTCTGTCACCGAGGCTGGAGTGCAGTGGTGTGATCTCAGCTCACTGCTACCTCCACTTCTAGGTTCAAGTGATTCTCCTTGAGTAGGTGAGACTACAGGCACGTGCCACCAGGCCTGGCTAATTTTTGTATTTTTAGTGGAGACTGGGTTTCACCATGTTGGCCCGGCTGGTCTCGAACTCCTGACCTCAGATGATCTGCTCTTCTCAGCCTCCCAAAGTGCAGGGATTGCAGGCTTAAGTCACTGTGCTGGCGAGTGCTTTTCATTAAAAGGAAAAGTGAGTAAGAGGAGCCCATGTTTTGGCAGGGTGTGGTGGCTCACACCTGTAATACCAGCACTTTGGGAAGCCAAGGTAGGATCACCTGAGGTCAGGAGTTTGAGACCAGCCTGGCCAACATGGTGAAACCCTTTCTCTACTAAAAATACAAAGATAGGCTGGGCATGGTGGCGTACGCCTGTAATTCCAGCTACTCAGGAAGCTGAGGCAGGAGAATCACTTGAACCTGGGAGGTGGGGGTGGCAGTGAGCTGAGATCATACCACTGCACTTCAGCCTGGGCAACAAAAGAATGAGACTCTGCCACCAAAAAAAAAAGATTAGCCCATGTTGGCCCTGGGTGCTGGGAACTTGCTTGGCAACACTGCCTCTGGTTTTCCTCTCCCATTTGAGGAGGAAACTGCCAGACCTACAGGCTGAAAGGTAATTGGTGTGATGTAGATGCTGCCAGAGCAACCCCCTTATAACCAACAGTAAGAAAGACGGGGACTTGCTCAGTCACCCAGGCTGGAGTGCAGTGGTTCAGTCATTGCTCACTGCAGCCTTGACCTCCCAGGCTCAAGTGATCCTCCCAACTTAGTCCCCCAAGTAGCTTGGACTAGAGGTGTGTGTCACCTCCCCTGGCTAATTTTTTTTTTTTTTTTTTTTTGAGACGAATTCTTGCTCTGTGCCCAGGCTGGAGTCCGGGGGGGCAATCTTGGCTCACTGCAACCTCCGCCTCCCAGGTTCAAGCAGTTTTCCTGCCTCATCCTCCCTAGTAGCTGGGACTACAGGCGTGTGCCACCACGCCCAGCTAATTTTTTGTATGTTTAATAGAGATGGGGTTTCACTGTGTTAGCCAGGCTGGTCTCCATCTCCTGACCTTGTGATCCACACTCCTCAGCCTCCAGAAGTGCTGGGATTATAGCTTATAGGCGTGAGCCACCGTGCCTGGCCCCCGCTAATTAAAAAAAAAATTTTTTTTTTGTAGAGACAGGGTCTTACTATGTTACCTAAGCCAGTCTTGAACTCATGGGCTGAAGCAATCCTCCTGCCTTGGCCTCCCAAAGTGTTGGGATTACAAGTCTGAGCCACTAAGCTGGCCTCAAGACTCTATCGTTAAACAAATACAGACCCCCTTTATCAAACACTGCTTTAGAGTGTTTCAGAGGTGAAGGGTTCAGCCACGTCAGCTGCACTGTCACCTTGTCTTCAGCTCTGCTCAGAAGGTTCGCGGCCTGCTAAGCCATTTGGAACCCTCGGGAATGTCTATATCCTCATTAGAGATGTCCTCATTTGAGACTGGCTGTCAACTGCTCACATTTTTTTTTCAGGCTACAGAGGCCTGTAATCTTCGAATTAGCTCTGATTTTTTTTTCTCTTACCTGTAAAACGCAAGGTCTTTAAGGATGTATGCTGCCACCGTGCCTGCCCCATTTGGCAGTGGCCTCCTGTGTGCTGCGCTGGTGTAGATGGTGGAAGTGTGACTCTGCTGAGTGGCAGGTTAGTGTGGGCGCTCTGCGGGTGGGCTGAGACTTGGCCCAGGCTTGCTCTCCTGTGGATGTCTTGCTAGAAGGAACCTTGTTAGGGTCCCTTTTAGGGGCTTAATGCCTTTACCTTTCCTTTGGGTCCTGCTTACCCCTTATTCCATCAGTGGTCGCCCCATCTCCTCTCATACAGTGGATTGTGAAGCCACTCACTGTGGTGAGCCCTGTGGGTCCTTTACTGAAACTCAGTCTGTTTGGTTCCTGTGCCTTCCCCACAGCTGTGGCTCCTGAACCTCTGCCGCCCCTAGATTCCTCCCCTTTTCTTGACAAAACCTGTCATCTCTCTAAGGGTGACTTCTCAGTCCACTCATTTATCTGACATGTGAAGTTGGTGCCTCCTGTGTGTCAGGAGGGCATTGTGGAGGCCCAGTTCTGCTATGAGGAGCTCTACGACTCAAAGCAGGGCAGGGGAGGGTGTCGGGGTGGAGGGGAGCTCTTCGGGTGGGCTGGCAAGGGGTCCTCTGAGCAGGGGCCTGCAGGTGGAGGCCAAGTGGCGAGGAGGGAGCCAGGTTAAGGTGTGTGGAACTTCCTGACCTTTGTCCCCAGCTGCATCGTTGTTCAGGCTTCGGGGCTTTCCACCTAGAAGTTCTGCTGTCTCTTATTTTTATTTTTATTTTATTTTATTTTATTTATTTATTTATTTTTTTTTTTTGAGATGGAGTTTCGCTCTTGTTACCCAGGCTGGAGTGCAATGGCGCGATATCGGCTCACTGCAACCTCCATCTCCTGGGTTCAGGCAATTCTCCTGCCTCAGCCTCCCGAGTAGCTGGGACTACAGGCATGCACCACCATGCCCAGCTAATTTTTGTATTTTTAGTAGAGATGGGGTTTCACCATGTTGACCAGGATGGTCTCGATCTCTTGACCTCGTGATCCACCCGCCTCAGCCTCCCAAAGTGCTGGGATTACAGGCTTGAGCCACCGCGCCCGGCTATTTTTATTTTTCTAGATGGAGTTTCACTCTCACCCAGGCTGGAGTGCAGTGGCGCGATCTTGGCTCACTGCAACCTCCGCCTTCCAGTTTCAAGCGATTCTCCTGCCTTAGCCTCCCAAGTAGCTGGGATTACTGGTGCCTGCCACCACACCCAGCTAATTTTTGTATTTTTAGCAGAGACGGGGTTTCACCATGTTGGCCAGGCTGGTCTTGAACTCCTGACTTTGTGATCTGCCCACCTTGGCCTCTCGAAGTTCTGGGATTACAGGAGTGAGCCACTGCGCGCAGCCTCTACTGTCTCTTAAATGCTGTTTGTCTCCTTTCCTGCTGCCTGTCTGCCTCCCTCTGGGAGTGCACCCAGGGAGCACCAGCCCTCCATCCCCCGCCGCCCACACTCAGGATCTCCCTCTCTGACTTCCACACCCGCCTCACTGCCAGCCCAGCTCAGGTTCTCTTCAAATGTCTGTTTTCTGTCCGCTTCTGCCATTCCCAGTGTGACCGCTCGTGCTCAGCCGTATCTCAGGCAGGAGGACAGGTGCCACAGCGGCTCGTGCCAGCCGAGCAGCCAATTGCAGAAGCGTCAGGTGGGTGGCAGCATTTGTAGCATGCTGGAGAAGCGGCTTCAGGCACGGGCCACTGGCAGGGAGGCTGGCTGGGGGCCCCACCGCCACCGTGCACGTTCTGACTTCACTGCTTCGCTTCTTCCTAGAGTTGGGGGCTTTGGCAGGCCATGCCTGGTTTGTGTCCACACCCTGCCTGTCAGGAGCGAAGACAGAACATCTGACTTTTGGGTCCGTCATGGGGGTGGGGGTTCCCCAGAAGAGAAGAGGCTTTGGGTCCTGGCCAGTGTCCACTACTCAGTTCAGAAACTTACATGATTCCTTATTGTCCCAAGCAAGTCTGACTGACCAGTGCGGCTTTCTGTGAAGGCAGAGATACTGTGTGACCTGTGCTGCTCAGAGGAGTGGCATGAGTAGCGTGTGCCTAGCAAACACTCAGGATATGGCCAGTGAGACAGAAGGGCTGAGCTTTTGTCCTAGCCAATATATTTGTTATTTCTTTATTTTATTTTCTTTATTTTATTTTTTCACTCTGTTACCCAGGCTGGAATGCAGTTGTGCAATCTCAGCTCACTGCAACCTCCGCCTCCCAGGTTTAAGTGATTCTCCTGCCTCAGCCTCCCAAGTAGCTGGGACTACAGCCGCACACCACCACACCCAGCTAAGTTTCTTGTTTTGTTTTGTTTTAGTTTTAGTTTTTGAGACAGAGTCTCACTCTCTTGCCCAGGCTCCAATGCAATGGCGTGATCTTGGCTCACTGCAACCTTGTCTCCCACGTTCAAATGATTCTTGTGCCTCACCTTCCTGAGTATCTGCGATTATAGGCGCCCACCACCACGCCTGGCTAATTTTTGTATTTTTAGTAGAGATGGGGTTCTTCTTTGCTTCTGAAAAGCCAGACAAACTCCTGACCTCAAGTGTTTCACCTACCTTGTCCTCCCAAAGTGCTGGGATTACAGGCATAAGCCACCGTGCCCAGCCTCTCCAATTAAATAGGTTGTCACACTTGGCTGTGGCCACCATATGGACAGCGTGGGTCTGGCTGCATGTGTCAGGCTATGTCACGTGTCAGGCTGCTGGCTGTGGCCGTCCCCACTGTGCAACTTTGCTTCTGTGGTCTGGTTTCCAGAACTTCTCTGCCTGTCAGAACCCCATGACACACCCCCATTTGAAAGCCTCCTCTGGCCTTCCTACATCCATCAGGAAGGCGGACTGCCTCATGCCACCGCAGCCAGCCCTCTGCAGCAGGTGTGTGGGCCCTCAGGCCTTGTGCCTGCCGCTGCCCTTGGCTCTCACATGGTTCTGCTGGCATCCCAGATGTACTGTGGCCAGGCGTGGGGCGTCACTTGACTCCATGTCCTCACCAGGTGTCCCATTGCTGGCTCTGCCATAGAAACTCTCCAAAGGGCTGTTTGTACCCACTCCTGTGAGCTCTTCCTCCACTGGAAACTGTCGAGGTCACCTTTGACCTCATCATTGCTCTGCCTGCAGGTCGCCACTTCCCCTTTTTAAAAGATTGTGGTAAAATAACAAGTGTCCTAAAATGCGCCATTTGAACCACTGCTTGGCGTGCAGTGCCATGGCATGAAGTATATTCTGTGTGGCCATCGCCTCCCTCCGTCTCCAGAGCTGAGCCCTGCTCTTCCCTCGCAGCCCCCAGCGGCCGCCATTCTGCTGTCTCTGTGGGTTTGAGGACTCTAGGTACCTCATGCTTAAGTGCAGTCCTACAGTATTTGTCCCTTTGGGACCAGCGTAGTCACTTGGCTCGTGTCCTCCAGGTTCAGCTATCTCATAGCATGTGGCAGGATTTCCTTCCTTTTTAAGGCCATGTGACACTCCAGTCCCGCCTCGCTAAAGCCGTTTGTTCACCTGGTCACTGGGGTGACCCTGGAACTCTGCTCTGGCCTCACTGCCTGTGCTGTCACCGTGGCCCCTGACCTCCCTTCTCCACCTCTGAGCCTGTAAGGGCTCCACTCAGAGGTCCCACGCACCAGCCCTGATGGCAGCACTTGGCTCTGCTGCTGTGTCCTGTCCCACGGAGGCTCAGCAGGCACTTGCTGGGCCTCCTTCCCTGCTCAATTCTCCTTCACACTCTGCACCCCCACCCACACTATGCTGCTTCACAGTCTGGCCCTGGCCTGGGCCACTGTCCCTTCCTGCTCAGATCAGTCAGTAGGGCTCCTCAGCTTGTTCCCCTCCTCTGTGCCGGCCCCTGCCATCTTTTCTGCACGTAGGCATGAGTGAGACTTTTCTTTTTTCAAGATGGAGTCTCACTCTGTCATACGGGCTGGAGTGCAGTGGCGTGATCTTGGCTCACTGCAACCTCCACCTCCTGGGTTCAAGACATTCTCCTGCCTCAGCCTCCCGAGTAGCTGGGATTGCAGGTGCGCGTCACCACGTCTGGCTAGTTTTTGTATTTTTTAGAGACGGGGTTTCATCATATTGGTCAGGCTGGTCTTGCACTCCTGACCTCGTAATACAGCTGCCTTGGCCTTCCAAAGTGCTGGGATTATAGGTGTGTGAGTCTTTTCAAGTGAAACTCACATCCTCTCATGTCTCCCCAGTCTCTGATAACACATCCAGGGTCTTTCCATGGCCTGGGGGAGCTGTAAGATCTGCTTCCTAAAGCCTCACCTCACTGTCTTCTGCTCCTCTCCAGACGCCGGACCCCTCATGCCCCTCGGGCAGCACAGCACACACCTATTCTTGAGCTCTCACTTGGCCCTGTGAGCCAGTCTTTCCAGGGTCCTCCCACCTCTGGTTACTCCCTGCCCAGACCTCTTGCAGGAGGGAGCAGTTTTCCTGTGCCCATCCCCCACCCCCTGCAGGAGGTAAGCTGCACAAGGGCAGCATTGTGTCACCTAGCACCTCGCCCCACATGGAGTAGGTGCCCTGCAAGATAGCTATCAGGTGGAGGACCCTCTCCCTGTGGCCTTTTATCTGTTTGTTCGCACAGGGTTTGCCATGTCTGGCTGCAGTCACGTCACTAGAAGACATTCCTTCCCTGCACCGTGGGCTCTGTGGCTGGGTCACAGCCCCAGCTGTGCCATCATTGCTCCACATCGTCCCCTCCCCCATTGGCTGTGACTCCCGTGCGAATACCCTATCCTATCTCAGTTCCTCTCCTCTCTCCTGCACTTGGTGCAGCACGGGGCAAAGCGGGTGCCCAGCAGTGCTGGCGGTGGGCAGGGGAACGGGCAGGTGGCCTCTCCTGGGCAGGAAGCCCATGGCACCCAGGTGCTCCCTGTGCCCCAGAGGGACTGGGGAGGTTTCATGGAGTAGGGCACTGGCCACCTGATGTGTGCCCTGTCCCCCGCAGGCCTCTTGGAGTCTCCAAGTCATCATGAATGCCATCGTGGCTCTCTGCCACTTCTGCGAGCTCCACGGCCCCCGCACTCTCTTCTGCACGGAGGTCCTGCACGCCCCTCTTCCCCAAGGGGCTGGGAATGAGGACAGCCCCGGCCAGGGCGAGCAGGCGGAGGAAGAGGAAGGTGGCATTCAGATGAGCAGCCGGATGCGCGCCCACAGCCCTGCTGAGGGGGCCAGTGTCGATTCCAGCAGCCCGGGGCCCAAAAAGTCAGACATGTGTGAGGCAAGTGTCTTTGGGGTCTTGGTTTTGTGGTCCCTGCAGTAGGTGTGGGATGGACAGGAGGACCTGAAAGCAGTGAATGAGGCCTCCTGGGGTGACAGACTGTTTCTCAGGGGCCCTTTAGTTCTGCTCATCCTGGCTGTAGCTTCCTTTTTTTTTTTCGTTTGTTTTTTTTGAGACGGAGTTTCGCTCTTGTTACCCAGGCTGGAGTGCAATGGCGCGATCTCGGCTCACCGCAACCTCCGCCTCATGGGTTCAGGCAATTCTCCTGCCTCAGCCTCCTGAGTAGCTGGGATTACAGGCACGCGCCACCACGCCCAGCTAATTTTTTGTATTTTTTAGTAGAGACAGGGTTTCACCATGTTGACCAGAATGGTCTCAATCTCTTGACTTCGTGATCCACCCGCCTCGGCCTCCCAAAGTGCTGGGATTACAGGCTTGAGTCACTGCACCTGGCCTTTTTTTTTTTTTTTTAAGACGGGTTTTCTTTTTTTTTTTTTTTTTTTTTGAGACGGAGTTTTGCTCTTGTTACCTAGGCTGGAGTGCAATGGCGCGATCTCGGCTCACCGCAACCTCCACCTCCTGGGTTCAGGCAATTCTCCTGCCTCAGCCTCCTGAGTAGCTGGGATTATAGGCACGCACCACCATGCCCAGCTAATTTTTTGTATTTTTAGTAGAGACGGGGTTTCACCATGTTGACCAGGTTGGTCTCGATCTCTCGACCTTGTGATCCACCCGCCTCGGCCTCCCAAAGTGCTGGGATTACAGGCTTGAGCCACCGCGCCCGGCTAAGACAGGTTTTCACCATGTTGGTCAGGCTGGTCTTGAACTCCCGACCTCAGGTGATCCACCCACCTTGGCCTCCAAAGTGCTTGGATTAGAGGCGTGAGCCACCACTCCCGGCCTTTTTTTTTTTTTTTTTTTTTCCCAATAGAGATGTCATAGAGATGGGGTTTCTGAACTCCTGACCTCAGGTGATCCACCTGCCTCGGCCTCCCAAAATGCTGGGATTATGTGTTAGCCACCACACCCGGCCGACTTTAGCTTTTTTAACCCACTCTGCCTCCCTGCTGTAGCCTTCATGTTTGTGTTCACACACTCCAGCCTGTTCTGGGTATGGATTCCCAAAGCCCCCTGCTCCCAGGACCCTCACCCCGTGTTCTCTGTGGGCAACTTGTTTGTGTAGAGGACCAGGGTCAGGGCCTAACATCAGGACTGGGTGCTAGACCTCCCACTGCAGTGCAGACAGGAACTCAAGCTTTTTTTTTTTTTTTTTTTTTTTTTTTTGATACAGAGTCATGCTCTGTCACCAGGCTGGAGTGCAGTGGCGCAATCTCGGCTCACTGCAAACTCTGTCTCCCAGGGTGAAGCAATTCTTCTGCTTCAGCCTCCCAGGCAGCTGGGACTACAGACATGCACCACCACGCTCAGCTGATTTTTGTATTTTTAGTAGAGATGGGGTTTCACCATGTTGGCCAGGATGGTCTCGATCTCTTGACCTCATGATCCACCTGCCTCGGCCTCCCAAAGTGCTGGGATGACAGGCGTGAGCCACCGCGCCTGGCTGACTGCTTGTTCTTTTGGTTCCTCTGCAGAAGCAGAGGATGTGTGAAAGCTGCATCCATTGAGGGAAACGCCTTTGAGGAATGCGGTGTGGGGAGCACCTCAGACCTGGGAAGGAGGGTGCCGCCAGGCTGTCAGGGCATCCTCAAGCTGGTGTTAGGGTTGCCCTTGGAGGAATCCTGTGACATTGTGGGGAGGGGCTTGCCTGGTGCTCAGCTGTGCAGTCTTGGGGTAGAGGTAGCTCTAGGGCGCACAGCCTCAGCACCGGAGTGGCTGCGGCTACAGTGGGGCAGCAGCTGGTCTGAGCTGCCACAGCAACATTCTGGAGCTTGGTGCCCACACTGTTTATTATTGGGGGTCTCACCTGGGGCTGAGGCCCCTTCCAGATGTTAGTTCAGGACCAAGGACAGAGGCTGGGGTGGATAACATCACCCAGAAAGTGGGTAATGTTACCATCACGGAGCCCCTCACCCTCGGACCAGCCACTTCCACCTCAGCCTCAGTTTTGTCTTCTGTAGAATGGGGCTTCTCACTGACATTATCTCAGAGGGTGGCAGCTGGGATTGAATGAGATGGAGCGTGCAGGGCCCTTTTCATGTTGCCTGCTTCATAAGAGCTCAGCAAATATCTGTTAGGAACAACCTCTGGCAATCTCTGTGATCTCTGTGTTCTGTTTTCCTCTTTAGGATACATTTAAATCTTCAGGTAAGTATAAATCTAGAGGCCAATTATTTTTGTACAAAAATAGCTCGAGTTGTCTGAGCTTGGATCTGCATAAGCCTAAGAGAGTTGGCTGCCCTGCTTCCCAACTAACAGATTTTCTTTTCCTTTTCATGGACAGGGCTGCCGGTCACTTGCTGCAGGGCACCCGGGGTATATCAGCCACGATAAAGAGACCTCCATCAAATACGTCAGCCACCAGCACCCCAGCCACCCCCAGCTCTTCAGCATTGTCCGCCAGGCCTGTGTCCGGAGCCTGAGCTGTGAGGTAAGCATCATGAACACAGAGACAGGCTCTGTGGGAGCTCACGTGCTCCCAGGTGCTCTGGGAGGGCTCGGACCCAGCATTGCACAGGGGGCAGGTGCTGGTCCTCTCTCAGGCCGGACCTGCAGATCAGCACAGCGCTGGGTGCAGGACACCTCTGTTGTCCAGAATTGCAGAAGTCATGTTGGCCAGGCACAGTGGCTCACACCTGTAATCCCAGCACTTTGGGAGGCTGAGGCGGGTGGATCACAAAGTCAAGAGATTGAGACCGGCCGGGCGCGGTGGCTCAAGCCTGTAATCCCAGCACTTTGGGAGGCCGAGGCGGGTGGATCACAAGGTCGAGAGATCGAGACCAACCTGGTCAACATGGTGAAACCCCGTCTCTACTAAAAAAAATACAAAAAATTAGCTGGGCTTGGTGGCGCATGCCTGTAATCCCAGCTACTCAGGAGGCTGAGACAGGAGAATTGCCTGAACCCAGGAGGCGGAGGTTGCGGTGAGCCGAGATCGCGCCATTGCACTCCAGCCTGGGTAAGAAGAGCGAAACTCCGTCTCAAAAAAAAAAAAAAAAAAAAAAAAGAGATTGAGACCATCCTGACCAACATGGTGAAACCCCGTCTCTACTAAAAAAAACATACAAAAATTAGCTGGGCATGGTGTATTTGCCTGTAGTCCCAGCTACTCAGGAGGCTAAGGCAGAAAAATCACTTGAACCCGGAAGGCGGGAGATTGCAGTGAGCCAAGATCCTGCCACTGCATTCCAGCCTGGATGACAGAGTGAGACTCTGTCTCAAAAATAAATAAATAAATAAATACAAAAAACTCATATTGGATTCGCTGAGCATTTTCTGAATGAGTGCGAGCTTTGCACTTTAAGCACCAAACTTTTATTATTTATCCACTTTTTATTATTTATTATTATTATTATTTTTTTGAGACGGAATTTCGCTCGTTACCCAGGCTGGAGTGCAATGGCGCGATCTCGGCTCACCACAACCTCCGCCTCCTGGGTTCAGGCAATTCTCCTGCCTAAGCCTCCTGAGTAGCTGGGATTACAGGCATGTGCCACCACGCCCAGCTAATTTTTTGTATTTTTAGTAGAGACGGGATTTCACCATGTTGACCAGGACGGTCTTGATCTCTTGACCTTGTGATCCACCCGCCTCAGCCTCCCAAAGTGCTGGGATTACAGGCTTGAGCCACCGCGCCCGGCCAATTATTTTTTTTTTAATTTTTAATTTTTTTTGAGACAGAGTCTCGCTCTGTCGCCAGGCACCAGGTTGGAGTGCAGTGGTACGGTCTCAGCTCACTGCAACCTCTGCTTTTTGGGTTCAAGCAGTTCTCCTGCCTCAGCCTCCCGGGTAGCTGGGACTACAGGCATGCACCACCACACCCAGCTAATTTTTGTATTTTTAGTAGAGACAGGGTTTCACCATGTTGGTCAGGATGGACTCAATCTCTTGACCTTGTGATCTGCCCGCCTTGGCCTCCCAAAGTGATGGGATTACAGGCGTGAGCCACCGCGCCTGGCTATTATTATTTTTTTATTCTTTCGAGGCGGGGTCTTGCTCTGTTGTCCAGGCTGGAGTGCAGTGGTTCCATCATAGTGCACTGCAACCTCAAACTCCTGGGCTCAAGTGATCCTCCCACCTCAGCCTCCTAGGTGGCTGGGACCACTCGTGTGTGCCACCATGTTCAGCTGGTCGGTTTTTTTTTTTTTTGGAGACGGAGTTGTACTCTTGTTACCCAGGCTGGAGTGCAATGGCATGATCTCGGCTCCCTGCAACCTCCGCCTCCTGGGTTCAGGCAATTCTCCTGCCTCAGCCTCCTGAGTAGCTGGGATTACAGACACGTGCCACCATGCCCAGCTAATTTTTTTGTATTTTTAGTAGAGACGGGGTTTCACCATGTTGACCGGGATGGTCTTGATCTCTTGACCTTGTGATCCACTCGCCTCGGCCTCCCAAAGTGCTTGGATTATATGCGTGAGCCACCACGCCTGGCTGGTTTTGTATTTAAAAATTTTTTTTTTTTGTAGAGATGATGTTTCCCTGTGTTACCCAGGTTGGTCTTGAACTCAAGTAATCCTACCACCTCATCCTCCAAAACCACTGGGATTACAGGTGTGAGCTGCCATGCCCGGCCGTTGGTCCATTCTTGATGGAAATATTCCTAAGATAGGAAGCATTTCTAGGTTAAGTGGTTCATTGTATCAACATCACCTTTTGTTTTTTTGTTTTTTTTTTTTGAGACAGAGTTTCACTCTTGTTACCCAGGCTGGAGTGCAATGGCACGATCTCGGCTCACCGCAACCTCCGCCTCTTGCGTTCAGGCAATTCTCCTGCCTCAGCCTCCTGAGTAGCTGGCACTACAGGCACGCGCCACCATGCCCAGCTGCTTTTTTGTATTTTTAGTAGAGACAGGGTTTCACCCTGTTGACTAGGATGGTCTCGATCTCTTGACCTTGTGATCCACCCGCCTCGGCCTCCCAAAGTGCTGGGATTACAGGCTTGAGCCACCGCGCCCGGCCAATTATTTTTTTTTTAATTTTTAATTTTTTTTGAGACAGAGTCTCGCTCTGTCGCCAGGCACCAGGTTGGAGTGCAGTGGTACGGTCTCAGCTCACTGCAACCTCTGCTTTTTGGGTTCAAGCAGTTCTCCTGCCTCAGCCTCCCGGGTAGCTGGGACTACAGGCATGCACCACCACGCCCAGCTAATTTTTGTATTTTTAGTAGATCCGAGGTTTCACCATGTTGGCCAGGATGGTCTCAATCCCTTGACCTCGTGGTCCACCTGCCTTGGCCTTCCAAAGTGCTGGGATTACAGGTGTGAGCCGCCGCGCCCGGCCAACATCACCTTTTTTTATTGTCTTGGTCACGTGCTGCTCTCAGCCTGCTGAGGTGTGGATGATTCGTTCCTAAGCTCCATCGCTGCTGCTGTGACTCTTGACCCTGAACTCAGATCTTTATCACAAAGAATTCCTTGTTCAGTTACTAAACTTCCTTGTCATCAGGTCCACCCAGTCAGACACACCAAGCTCCCTTGCTGTTAGTTCTCATTCCATGTGGCCGTGGGCCTGCCCTTAGCCATCCTTTCCTTTAATTTCTTGCTGCTGGTCTGCTCGCAGGCATCGGGGCACATCTGTTAGAATTGTGTGTTAAGGAAGACTAAGTATGTCATGAGGAGGGACTGAAGTCCTCTCATGAGAATAAAGTAGGCTGGACTGGGTGCAGTGGCTCATGCCTATAATACCAGCACTTTGGGAGGCTGAGGCGGGCGGATCACGAGGTCAGGAGTTCAAGACCAGCCTGGCCAACATGGTGAAACCCTGTCTCTACTAAAAATACAAAAATTAGCTGGGCATGGTGGCAGGTGCCTGTAGTCCCAGCTACTTGGGAGGCTGAGGCAGGAGAATCACTTGAACCTGGGAAGCAGAGGTTGTGGTAAGCTGAGATCATGCCACTGCATTCCAGCCTGGGTGACAGAGCAAGACTCCGTCTCAAAAAGAAAAAAAAAAAGAACAAAGTATGTAGGGCTGGGCATGGTGGTTCACGCCTGTAATCCCAGCACTTTGGGAGGCTGAGGTGGGCAGATCACCTGAGGTCAGGAGTTCACAACCAGCCTGGCCAGCATGGTGAAACCCCATCTCTACTAAAAATACAAAAAAATTAGTGTGGTGTCACATGCCTGTAATCCTAGCTACTCAGAAGGTTGAGGCAGGAGAATCGCTTGAACCCAGGAGATAGAGGTTGCAGTCGGCTGGGATTGTACCACTGCACTCCAGCCTGGATGACAAGAGCGACTCCATCTCAAAAAGAATAATTATTATTATTTTAATTTTTAAAAACATTAAAAAAAAAAAAGAGTCCGGGCATGGTGGCTCACACCTGTAATCCCAGCACTTTGGGATGTCAAGGTTAGTGGATCACCTGAGGTCAGGAGTTTGAGACCAGCTTGGCCAACATGGCAAAATCCCATCTTTACTAAAAAATACAAAAATTAGGTGGGTGTGGTGGCAGCGCCTGTAATCCCAGCTGCTTGGTAGGCTGAATTCCTTGAACCCAGGAGGCAGAGGTTGCAGTGAGCTGAGATTGTGCCATTGCGCTCCAGCCTGGGAGACAGAGCAAGACTCTGTCTCAGAAAACAAAAAAAAGAATAAAATGTGCAGATTTCAGTGCAGGGAGGGTGCAGTGGCTGCCCTGACCTGCTGGTTCTTCTGCATGCTCTGGGTGAGTCAGCTGGTGCATCTGAGTCTGGGAGAAGTATGACACATGCGTGGGAGTTATTTATGGCTCAAGGTGGAAAAAAAGCAGTGAACCTTGTTACCGGCCCTTACGGTCCACAGTGACAAGTGTTGTTGAAAGCTTGATCACAGGAGCAGAAGAGTGCAGAGTCCTTGGCTCTTACGGCCTCCGCTCTGCCACTCGCCCCTGTTATTAACGCTGGCTGATTTGTGCCAGCAGACTCTGAAAAGTATGAAGAGGAGGCTTTGATTTGGTGTTGCTAAGCGAGGAAAGGGCTGTCTCTGAGTCGCTGGTGTTCCCGCCAGGTCTGCCCTGGCCGCGAAGGCCCCATCTTCTTCGGAGATGAGCAGCATGGCTTTGTGTTCAGCCATACTTTCTTCATCAAGGACAGCCTGGCCAGGGGCTTCCAGCGCTGGTACAGCGTCATCACCATCATGATGGACCGGATCTACCTCATCAACTCCTGGCCCTTCCTGCTGGGGAAGGTCCGGGGAATCATCGACGAGCTCCAGGGCAAGGCGCTCAAGGTGAATTCAGAGATGGGGTGGCGGGGGCCCTGCACTGCAGCAGTCGCTCTGTGCCGAGGTTGAAGCCTGGATCCCGGGAGCTTATTCCCCTCCGCCTGCGTCCACTGCACTGTGTGAATTGTGGTCTCTCGGCTTCGGGGGTGGAGGTCATGGTGAGGAGCCGCCCAGGCCGTTCTGCCTGCTTTACTGGTCTCTCCTGCCCGCACTGTCCTGGTTCTCCTTCAGCTCTGGTGTCTTTGCTGCAGTCAGACCCCTAGTTTCCTCCCTGCTGTCTTCGCTTCCTCTGGCCTTCATCCCCTGCACGTCCATTAATCCCGTGGAGCTGCACCACGGAATGTAGACCTCCAGCTTTGGAGTTAAGGCTCAGGCCAGGCCAGGCCAGGTTGTGCCTGGTTACAAACAGCCCCCAGTTCTCAGCACAGCACCTTCAAGCCATAGGGCCTGTTTCTTGTCATGCTGTGTGCATTACGTGAGAGCAGGGCTCTCTCTGGTCACTGTGGTCATCCTGGCAGGCAGAACGGCAGCCGTATGGAAGTGTTGCTCCTTCTGCCCTCCAGAAGCACGGAGGGTGCTGGGGAGCCTTGTTTATCTCGGCTTGTTTGCCAGAGCCAGTCACATGTCCCTCAGCCAAGGGTCTGAGCAGTGCACCTGGAAGGGGAGGTGGAGACAGGTGGGCAGCAGCGCAGATGGCCACCCGTGACAATCCCCCTGGGTGTCTCGGGTCGCTTGTTAGGAAGGGGACAGGAGAAACTCAGCCGATTCCTGTTCTCAGGTGGCTCCTGATCTGGCTGGGGTGGGGGCTGAGCCATGCTGTTGGGAACGAATCGAGAGTGCTCTGCATGGAGAGAGTGCGGTGGGACTGTGTCCAGGAGGCAGGCCCTGGTGTTGCCTGTGAACGAGTTGGGGACCAGGCTGCTGGCACCTTTGGCTTAAAGACGCCATCCCTTCCCGTTGCATTTCAGGTGTTTGAGGCAGAGCAGTTTGGATGCCCACAGCGTGCGCAGAGGATGAACACAGCCTTCACACCATTCCTGCACCAGAGGAACGGCAATGCCGCCCGCTCGCTGACGTCGCTGACAAGTGATGACAACTTGTGGGCGTGCCTGCACACCTCCTTTGCCTGGTAACGGGCGTCTCCGCTTTTGGCAGCCGTTAGGATAGAGCCGTCACGACACACTGGTTGGCTCACCCACAGATTTGGGAGAACAGTCCGTAGCTGAGTTTTCTTGCTGCCTCTGCGAGGAGCACTGGCCTGTGGGCACTTGTCAGTGAGCACAGATCTGGGCCGAGAGTCCTCATTCTCTGGGTCTCTTTCCCCGAGTGTGCAGAAAATGTATGGAGGTGGAATTTATTTCCCAGTGATATAAAAACTCAATGTCTGAGCCTGTAATGCCAACACTTGGGGAAGCCAAGATTAGAGGATCCCTTGAGCCCAGGAGGTCAAGACCAGCCTGGGCAACATAGTGAGACCCCTGTCTACAAAAAAAGGAACAAAACTAGCTAAGTATGGTGGCATGCACCTGTCGCCCCAGCTACTCGGGAGGGTGTGACGGTCGGGTTGCTTGAGCCCAGGAAAACCATGATTATGCCACTACACTCCAGCCTGGGTAACAGAGTGAGACCCTGCCTCTAAAAAAAAAGGGAAAAAAAAGCCAGGAGTGGTGGCTCATGGTTGTAAATCCAGCACTTTGGGAGGCCAAGGCAGGCGGATCACGAGGTCAGGAGTTTGAGACCAGCCTGGCCAACATGGTGAAACCCTGAGTATTAAAAATACAAAAAAATTAACCATGCGTGGTGGCACATGTCTGTGATCCCGGCTACTCAGGAGGCTGAGGCAGGAGAAATTCTTGAACCCAGGAGGCAGAGGTTGCGGTGAGAAGAGGTCACGTCACTGCGCTCCAGCCTGATGACAGAGTGAGACTCCCTCTCAAAAAAAAAAAAGCCAGCAGTCTGGTCTGTCCCCCAGCCAGCAGTGGCTTCTGTTCGTTCCACAGCAGAATATACTCCCTCCTGGCCGGGCGCGGTGGCTCAAGCCTGTAATCCCAGCACTTTGGGAGGCCGAGGCGGGTGGATCACGAGGTCAAGAGATCGAGACCATCCTGGTCAATATGGTGAAACCCCGTCTCCTACTAAAAATACAAAAAATTAGCTGGGCATGGTGGCACATGCCTGTAATCCGAGCTACTCAGGAGGCTGAGGCAGGAGAATTGCCAGAACCCAGGAGGTGGAGGTTGCGGTGAGCCGAGATCGCGCCATTGCACTCCAGCCTGGGTAACAAGAGCGAAACTCCGTCTCAGAAAAAAAAAAAAAAAAAAAAAAAAAAAAAGAATATACTCCCTCCTTCCAAAAGCTCCAGCCCCAGCTTCTCATTCCTGTGCAGCACCAACCCCAAGTCTAGGATTTCACGTGTAAATCTGATCTTGGTGTGGATCAGGCCCCTCAGGGTAGGCCCATGAGTACGGCTCCGGAGGATCTGCGGGCAGGCAGGGAAAGCATCAGCTAATTCCCCTGTGTTTTTAAAGTTGTTTTGTAGAGACAGTCTCACTGTGTTGCCCAGGCTGGCCTCAGACTTACTGACTCAAGTGACCCTTTCACCCAGCACTTTAATTTTTTTCTCTTTTAGAGACAGGGTCTCACTGTGTTGCCCAGGCTGGAGTGCAGTGGCTATTCACAGGTGTGACCATAGCACACCACAGCCTCAGACTCCCGGGCTTAAGCCCCCAGGTAGCTGGGGCTCCAGTACACAGCTTAATATATTTTAGGCAGGGTGCGGTGGCTTATGCCCATAATCCCAGCACTTTGGGAGGCTGAGGCAGGTGGATCCCTTGAGGTCAGGAGTTCGAGACCAGCCTGGCCAATATGGTGAAGCCCTGTCTCTACTAAAAATACAAAAATTAGCCTGGTGTGGTGGCAGGTGCCTGTAGTCCCAGCTACTTGGGAGGCTGAGGCAGGAGAATCGCTTGAACTCAAAAGGCAGAGGTTGCAGTGAGTGGAGGTACACTCCAGCCTGGGCTACAGAGTGAGACTCCGTCTTAAAAAAAAAAAAAAATTGAATTGACAGGTAAAAATTGTGTATATTTTATGATGTATAACATGAGGTTTTAATAAATGTACAACAGGGAACAGCTAAATCAGGCTCCTTAACATATGCTTTACCTCGTGTGCTTTTCCCTTCCTGTGTAGTGAGAAGACTTCAGACCCACTCTCCTAGCTTCCCCCTTTATTTTATTCATTTTAGTTTTTTATGAGGCACAGTATTGTTCTGTCGCCCAGGCTGGAGTGCGGTGGCACAGTCTCGGCTCACTACAACCTCCGTACCCCAGGTTCAGGTGATTTTCCTGCCTCAGCCTCTGGACTAGCTGGGATTACAGGCATCCACTGCTATGGCAGCTGATTTGTGTATTTTTAGTAGAGGCGCGGTTTCGCTGTGTTGGCCAGGCTGGTCTTAAACTCCTGAGCTCAGGTGATCCACCTACCTTGGCCTCCCAAAGTGCTGGGATGGCAGGCATGAGCCACTGTGCGCAGCCTCCCCTGTATTTTAAAAATCATTTTATTATAGAAATTTTCAAGCAGACCCAAAGAATAAGCTTTAGTCAGCCTCCATTCCTGTCCTCCAGTGTTAGTGGTTATGAGCATTTTCCTGCTTTTTCTTCTGTTGTCACTTTTTTTCTGGAGTTTTTTTCTTTTTTATTCTTGTAGAGATGGGGTCTCACTCTGTTGCACAGACTGGTCTTGAAATACTGGCCTCAAGTGATCCTTCTGCCTCGGCCTCAAAGTGCTGGGATTATATGCATGTGCCACTGTGCGTAACCCATTTTTGGCAGGAGTCTTGCTGTGTTCAGGCTGGGCTTGAACTCCAGGGCTCAGGTCATCTTCCTTCCTTGGCCTCCTGAGTATCTGAGAGTACCGGCTTGAGCCACCATGCCTGGCTGGGGTTTTCTTGTCTGTTTTTAAGGCTGGTCTCAGTGCTCTGCCTGGGCTGGAGTGCAGTGGTGCAGACTAGACCCACGCACGCCTATTGCCGCAGCCTTCTGAGGAGCTAGGACTGCAGGCGTGCGCTACCACACCCAGCTCATGTTTTCATTTTTTGTAGAGACTGGACCTTGCTATGTTGCCCAGGCCGGTCTTGAACTCCTGGCCTCAAGCAATCCTCCCCCTTGACCCCCTGAGCCCCGCAAAGTGCTGGGATTACAGGTGGTGAGCCACTGCTCATGGCCTGGAATTTTTTTTTTTAAAGCAAATCTGAGTTGTATCATTCCAGTCATAAATACAGTCACCATACGGTGATCATGCCCAACAAAATGGGCAGATTCCTGAGCGTTCTCCAGGGCGCAAGCCCTTGTCAGTTTCCTCTTTTGTCTCACAAGTGACTGCACTGGCGTCGCAGCAGCACCCCAAGTCCCTCTGTCGAGAACAGCTCCTCCTCGCATCCCCGCCCCTCCCGGTTTCTCCCATGCTGCCTGTTGAAGGACCTTGGTCACTCACTGGCTTATGGAATTGCCTGCATGTGGGATCTGGCTGGTTGTGCCCTGTGGTGCTCTTTTATTCTCACATTTTCTTTTTTTTTTTTTATTGAGATGGAGTCTTGCTCTGTCGCCAGGCTGGAGTGCAGTGGCGCAATCTCGACTCACTGCAACCTCCGCCTCCTGGGTTCAAGTGATTCTTCCGCCTCAGCCTCCCCAGTAGCTGGGACCACAGGCGCATGCCACCACACCCGGCTAATTTTTGTATTTTTAGTAGAGACGGGTTTCATCATGGCGAGGATGGTCTCGATCTCTTGACCTCGTGATCCACCCGCCTCAGCCTCCCAAAGTGTTGGGATTACAGGCATGAGCCACCGCGCTCGGCCTCTCATATTTTCTTTTTATTTATATAAGTATTTATTTTGAGATGGAGTCTCTCTCTTGTTGCCCAGGCTAGAGTGCAATGGCACAATCTCCGCTCACTGCAGCCTCCCCCTCCCGAGTTCAAGTGAGTCTCCTGCCTCGGCCTCCTGAGTAGCTGGGATTACAGGCATGTGCCACTATGCCCGGCTAATTTTGTTATTTTTAGTAGAGACTGGGTTTCTACACGTTGGTCAGGCTGGTCTCAAACTCCCAACCACAGGTGACCCACACGCCTCGGCCTCAAAGTGTTGGGATTACAGGCGTGGGCCACCACGCCTGGCCATATTTTCTTTAACCTGGTAGGATCAGTGGCTGGGTGAGAGGTTTGCTTTTTCCTTTGGAAAGACGGCTCATAGGTGGTGCTGTGTTCTCCAGGCTCCTGAAGGCATGTGGCAGCCGGCTGACCGAGAAGCTCCTGGAAGGTGCCCCCACTGAGGACACGTTGGTCCAGATGGAGAAGCTCGCAGGTGAGCCAGGGGTGCTGTTTCTGGGGCCTTGGCCCAGATGGCTGTGGGGTGGTACCAGCTCTCTGCTCTCCTGGCAGGAATTGCTGAGGGAGGGAAATGCAGCTCTGAAGCAGCCCAGGATGAGCCTTTGGGAAGCTTGCCCCTGAGCTTGGTGTGATTGTTGTGATTTCCTGTCTGAACTGTTTGCCTTGACCGTCATGTGAAAGAATCCGTTTCCTGCCAGGCGTGGTGGCTCATGCCTATAATCCCAGCACTTTGGGAGACCAAGGTGGGTGGATCACTAGGTGAAGAGTTGAAGATTAGCCTGGCCAAGATAGTGAAACCCCGTCTCTACTAAAATTACAAAAAATTAGCTGGGTGCAGTGACAGGCGCCTGTAATCCCAGCTACTGAGGAGGCTGAGGCAGGAGAATTGCTTGAACCCAGGGGGTGGAGGTTGCAGTGAGCCAAGATGGTGCCACTGTACTGCAGCCTGGGCAACAGAGTAAGACTCCATCTCAGAAAGAAAGAGTCCATTCACTAGCTAGGTGGGGAAAATTCACGGGTAGGGCCGTCCATAGAGAGAACTAGCTGATTGAAGGTTTCTCATCCCTGTTTTGTGATAGCTGAGTGCTCAGCCTGGTCGACAGTCTCAGTCTTTGCTCCTGTACAAATAAAGTTCTGTTTCATTTAGACCCAAGTTTTCCATCAAGGGCAGTGGTTCCCTGACCTCCCAGGTGTCTGGGCTTCCCCAGGTTCCTGATGGGGCTCGGGGCCATGGGTCTGGGGGTGCTGGCACCTTGTGCACCAGCCCAGAGGCACTGGGCCCAGTCTTGGCTGACGTTTCCATCAGGGATAATTTGATCTTGGTGCTACAGGTCTGTGGTCCCGGCTTCGAGGTGAGCGCAGACTTATGACCATTGTTCCACACCTCGTGTCATCAGTCATACTTCCCATGCTTCTGCTTGCAACTGACTGGCCTTCCAAACAGCTGGAGCTGTTCCGAGTTGTTTGTGCAGGCAGGTGCAGGCGTGCCAAAGTAAGCTTTGCCAGTGGAGTCTTGGCAAGAGCAGAACCAGGTCAGGAAAGACAAAGCCTGGCAGTCCACCCCGACGCCCTGCGGGCTGGCTGGCCTTGGAGCCATTTATTATACTGCCAATCATGTTTCTAGGCATGTGCAGATGGCAAAGGCAGCGTCTTGGTGAACTTTCTAGCTCAAAGAGCCAGAGCCGTCGAAGCCTTTGTGAGAGCTTGGAAGTGGGTGTGCGGGGCATTTGCAGTGTGGGGTTTCGGGCTCAGGGCTTGCCCTCTGGAGTCAGACCTGGCTTTGCATTCTGGCTCTGCTTCTCACCTGCACCCTTCTCGTTGGGTTTCGTGATGTGAAATGGAGATGTGGTCGTTTGTGAGGGCTCCATGAAGGTTCACTGAAGTGACAAATACTCATTTCTTTATCTGTGAAATGGAGCTAATGGTGCTGATGTGCCAGGCGCGGTGGCTCACACCTGTAATCCTAGCACTTTGGGAGGCCAAGGTGGGTGGATCACCTGAGATCAGGAGTTCAAGACCAGCCTGGCCATCATGGTGAAACCCCATCTTTTTTTTTTTTTTGAGACGGAGTTTTTTGCTCGTTACCCAGGCTGGAGTGCAATGGCACGATCTCGGCTCACCGCAACCTCTGCCTCCTGGGTTCAGGCAATTCTCCTGCCTCAGCCTCCTGAGTAGCTGGGATTACAGGCACGCGCCACTATGCCCAGCTAATTTTTTCTATTTTTAGTAGAGACGGGTTTTCACCATGTTGACCAGGATGGTCTCGATGTCTCGACCTCGTGATCCACCCGCCTCGGCCTCCCAAAGTGCTGGGATTACAGGCGTGAGCCACCATGCCCGGCCAAAACCCCATCTTTAAAAAAAAAAAGTGCTGACGTGACCTTAGCACAGTTGAGAGGAAAATGAAATGATGTTGGATGCAGCCATAAAGAGTAAAATCGGGGCCGGGCACGGTGGCTCACGCCTGTAATCCTAGCACTTTGGGAGGCCGAGGCGGGTGGATCACAAGGTCAAGAGATCGAGACCATCCTGGTCAACATGGTGAAACCCTGTCTCTACTAAAAATACAAAAAATTAGCTGGACATGGTGGCTCGTGCCTGTAATCCCAGCTACTCGGGAGGCTGAGGCAGGAGAATTGCCTGAACCCAGGAGGCGGAGGTTGTGGTGAGCCGAGATCATGCCATTGCACTCCAGCCTGGGTAACAAGAGCGAAACTCCGTCTAAAAAAAAAAAAAAAAAAAAAAAGTAAAATCAGGCACTGGTGCACGCCTGGAGTCCCAGCACTTGGGAGACTGAGACAGGCGATGGCTTGAGCTCAGGAGTTTGAGACGAGCCTGAGCAACATAGCGAGGTCCAGCCTCTACAAAAAATAGGAAAAGTAGCTGGGCGTCATGGTGCATGCCTGGAGTCCGAGCTGCTTAGAAGGTTTAGTTGGGAGGATCACTTGAGCTCAGAAGATTGAGACTGCAGTGAGCCGTGATCGTGCCACTGCATTGTAGCCTGGGCAATAGTGAGACCCTGTCTCAAATCAAAAGATGGGAATAGTAGACACCAGGGACTCCAGAAGGAGGGAGGGGGAGGGAGGGGACCAAGGGCTGAAATACTTTCTATTCGATACTGTCTGGGTATATTACTTCCTGTGGTTAACTCTCTGGGTGACAGGATCAATAGCAGCCCAAACTTCAGCACCACGCAGTGTACTTTTGTAACAAAACTACACCTGTACGCCATCAATCTAAAATAAAAGTGAAAAAAAAAAACAAAAAAAAAAACGATGTGTAGATCCTTGAGAACTGTGGCCGACTGGATGTGTTCAGAAGACACACTGTTGGCATTTTTGTCACTGGTTTGAGTTTTCTCACCATCAAAGAACAGCTGATGGTCTTTCCATCAAAGAACAGCTGACGGTCTTTCCGTAAGTGCTTCTAAGACGGACCTGTGGTGCCCCGGCCTAAGCAGACAGCAACTGAGCCCTCCCTCCCAGCCCAGGGCTCCCAGAGCAACAGGGAACATGGGACCTGGCCACAGCTAGGAATCTACACTGACCAGCCCACAAAGTGCCTTGGGGTGAAGTCACAGGTTTGTATCTGTAACTGTCCTTGCTGTCTGTCTTGCAGATTTAGAAGAGGAATCAGAAACCTGGGACAACTCTGAGGCTGAAGAGGAGGAGAAAGCCCCTGTGTTGCCGGAGGGTGCAGAAGGGCGGGAGCTGACCCAGGGCCTGGCAGAGTCCTCCTCTCTTGCAGGCTGTGGGAGCTGGCAGCCCCGGAAGCTGCCAGTCTTCAAGTCCCTCCGGCACATGAGGCAGGTAGGCGGCAGGGGCAAGGTGACATCAGGAGCTCAGGAGGAGAGCAAAGCCGTCCCTACCCACGCGCCTTGCCTCTGGGCTCTCCATCTTCAAAACCCTGCAGGAAGTGACTGACAGCCTCTCGGTGGGTGGCTAAGGGCACAGGGTGTCAGGAATATTATCCATAAGATCCATGTTCCCCCTTCAGTGATGACCTAAGTATCTTCAAAGAGGCCGGGTGCGGTGGCTCATGCCTGTAATCCCAGCACTTTGGGAGGCCGAGGCGGGTGGATCACGAGGTCAAGAGATCGAGACCATCCTGGTCAACATGGTGAAACCCCGTCTCTACTAAAAATAGAAAAAATTAGCTAGGCATGGTGGCGCGTGCCTGTAATCCCAGCTACTCAGGAGGCTGAGGCAGGAGAATTGCCTGAACCCAGGAGGTGGAGGTTGCGGTGAGCCGAGATCGCGCCATTGCACTCCAGCCTAGGTAACAAGAGGGAAACTCCGTCTCAAAAAAAAAATTAGGAAGAACGTTCGTATCAAACGGTAGCCAATTGTCGTAAACGGTAGCCAAACTGTGGAATATGATTAATGAGAAGAATTAAAGCAGGCAGTGTGTGTTTAGGGTGGTGTATGCACGTGTGCCTGCCAGACACGACAGAATTGGAGGAGTGGGTGTGGGTTGCTCCATGCAGGGGCAGGCTGCATCCTTGATAAGATTCTTCTGGCCGGGCACAGTGGCTCACCCTGTAATCCCAGCACTTTGGGAGGCCAAGGCAGGCGGGTCACCTGAGGTCGGGTGTTTGGGACCAGCCTGATCAACATAGAGAAACCCCATCTCTACTAAAAATACAAAATTAGCTGGATGTGGTGGTACATGTCTGTAATCCCAGCTACTCGGGAGGCTGAGTTGCAGTGAACCGAGATCAGCGATGGGAGCAAAACTCTGTCTCAAAAAAAAAAAAAATTCTTCTGTATTTATTTTTCCAATGAGCACTGATTCATCAGAAGGGTGTTACTTGTTTTGGAAAATGGAGTAAGACTGATTTCATGGCAGATGCCCTTGGGGCTTCTGGATGAAAACTCTCAATCCATTGAAATCCTACATTCAGCTGAAACCTTCCCTGTCCATTGCTTATGTAGATGAAGGTTGGAAGGTGTGTGGAATTCCTCTGGAGGTGCGACTGCTTTGAGACTCTTGGGGTTTGGTCAAATGTGGTATTGTGGCCTCTCTCTCTTTTTTTTTTTTTTTTTTTGAGATGGAGTTTCGCCCTTGTTACCCAGGCTGGAGTGCAATGGCGTGATCTCGGCTCACCGCAACCTCCGCCTCCTGGGCTCAGGCAATTCTCCTGCCTCAGCCTCCTGAGTAGCTGGGATTACAGGCACGTGCCACCATGCCCAGCTAATTTTTTGCACTTTTAGTAGAGATGGGGTTTCACCATGTTGACCAGGATGGTCTCGATCTCTCGACCTCGTGATCCACCCGCCTCGGCCTCCCAAAGTGCTGGGATTACAGGCTTGAGCCACTGCGCCCGGCGTGGCCTCTCTCTTAAAGTTTTGTTTCAAAGCTGTGTTTGGCTTCTTAGAAGCAGTGAGACAACAGGCTGGACTCTCCTAAGGTGTCAGTGTCGCAGAAGCTAATAACAGGTGGGGTCTGTGGGGAGGCTGTTCGGGGTTAAAGAATAAGGACATGATAACTAAAGGTAGTCATGGTGCTATAGTAGCTCCTGGATCAAAAGAACAGCAGCCGCCAAGCAGGCAGGGGCCCTGTGCTGGTGCCTGTGGCTGGATTTCAGGTGCGTCCATTGTGGTCTCATCATGATGGGCTCCAGTCATGGAGCCATCATGTCTCAGCTGTGGAGACATGTTCTCCTGGGTGCCGCCGGTCGAGGGCCCTACAGCCTGCTTTCAAATGCTTCAGCAAAAAGTATCTGTAAAAAAAGGTGAATATTGCAGGAAGTTAACATCTTTTTGCTTCAAATTTTTAAAAACAAAATTGGGAGGCAGATCTTGGAGCAAGAGCTTTGGAATCTGGCTTTTAAGTGCAAACCTGGAACTTCTGTCTCTCCCCATTTAACCCTGGGCTGGGCACCGCCCCCCTGAGAAGATAAGTGACTTTCTCCTGAACCTGTCTTTGCTCTACAAAGTTTTCTGAACACAACTCAATAACTTCATGGGAAGGGAGAAGAAAACCATTTCTCCTAGTCACGCCAAAAGCACTTCGTTCTCTTGTTTAGGTCCTGGGAGCCCCGTCTTTCCGCATGCTGGCCTGGCACGTTCTCATGGGGAACCAGGTGATCTGGAAAAGCAGAGACGTGGACCTCGTGCAGTCAGCCTTTGAAGTGCTTCGGGTGAGAACGTCTCTTCCATGGGTGTGCGGCGCAGAGCAGTGTGGGCCTAGTGCCTGGCATCGGGTGGGGCCGCTGAGGTGCCCGACTGCCCTGCGCAAGCTGCAGTACCCCACCCTGCCTCCACCTGGGGTGCAGTGGGTGTGGAGGCCAGGTCTGGTCTGATGATGTTGAAATCATCAGAAGGTGTGAGTGTGCCTGCTGACTGCCTGGCCTGAGAGGGACAGAAATGCATGTGACACAATCCTGGTTCAAGGCTTCATTGTGGGATGTGGTAAGAGACAGACATTTGTGCAGGCAAGATTAATACAAGAGTTAGCTCCACAAAGCGAGGGGTGGCACAGGCTGGTGTGTGCCTGGCGGTCCAGACTGGAGTTAGCCTGATGGCAGAGAACCCCCCACCATGGGCTGAGTCTGAGGCCTCCTCTGGGAGGAGGGAGGCCTTGGACTGGGCCGCAGGAGGCGTGTGGGGTTTAGTGGAGTGTGGATGGCCGGGGCCGAGGGCTTCCTGTCGTCCTTGGTCTGAGTCCTGCTGTCCTCCTCAGACCATGCTGCCCGTGGGCTGCGTCCGCATCATCCCGTACAGCAGCCAGTACGAGGAGGCCTATCGGTGCAACTTCCTGGGGCTCAGCCCGCACGTGCAGATCCCCCCCCACGTGCTCTCCTCAGGTGCGTTCCACCGAGGGCTGTGGGGCCGTGCCCTGCGCTCAGGGTCCCCGCGCCTCCGGCCCAGAGTGGAAGCAGATGGCTGTCGTGGGTTGTGGAGGGAGGAGGCCTCACTGCAAGGCCAGCTTCCCCCATGGCTCTGGGCCTCCACGCTCCATCTTCACACAGGCGGGGGTAGGTGGGTGGACCTGATGGGAAGGGTGGCTGGCAGGGACTGTCCTCAGCAGGCTGCAGGTCACCGTCCTGGGGTGGGAGAATGTGTGCCCTGGCCAGAGGATCCTGGTCGTCCTGGTGAGTGGGTGCCTATGAGATGTGGGAGGCCTGCCGAATGCTGGGCTTGGGCCACCGGCTTCTGTGGGCACCACCGTCCGCCCTTCCTCACAGTTGTCCTGTCCCGCCTTCTGCTCTCCTCCAAGCCTGTTTCTTCCTCTCACGTACCCGAAGCCTTTCTGGCCTTCACTGGTGTGGTCAGGGCTCAGCAGCAGAGACCCAGGAAGCTCAGTGGCATCCCTGGTCTTTTGGTTTGGGGATGTCCGGGGGTCAGCCCCCTGGGCTCGTCTGTGACTTCCCCAGCACAGCTGTGAGCAGCAGTTGCTGACTTGTGGTCTGAGCGGAGCTGCCCTGAGCCTCGGATCAGCACCTGGGCTGGGTCCTGAGTCCCGGCAGCAGTGCCTTTTTTCCCGGGTAGCACTGGAAACACAGGCTCTGGTTTCAGACAGACTTGAAACTCTTACCACTACCATAGGCTCTGTAACCTTCGGCGGGTTATTTAACATCTACAGGTCCGTTTCCCCGTCTGTGAAATGAGGCCATGGTGGGACCACCCTCATAGGGCTTCTTAAGTAGGAGGTCAATTGATGTATGTAAAGTACTTTGTGATTATTGTAATATAATAAATTATTAGTTTAACTGAGGCGAAAGTTAACCCTTAACTATTCACAGACACCTGAAAGGTCCTAAATAGCAAAGCGTTGATCTCGGCAGCCTTTTCACCGGCAGCCCTGACCTGACGTGAGCCAGCGTGGGGCCGGCGGTGGGCGAGCGCGGGGGAGGTGAGGAGTACTTAGGGGCCGTGGGCCTGGTGTTGTCACAGAGTTTGCTGTCATCGTGGAGGTCCATGCGGCTGCACGCTCCAGCCTCCACCCTGTAGGGTGTGAGGACGACCAGTCTCTCAGCAAGTACGAGTTTGTGGTGACCAGTGGGAGCCCTGTAGCTGCAGACCGAGGTGGGTACCCCCAGGCGGGCGTCCTTTGCATGGGAACGGGCTCCCGCCCTGTGCTGACGCCTGCCCTCGCTCTGCCCCGGCCCTTCTCCCCAGTCGGCCCCACCATCCTGAATAAGATTGAGGCCGCCCTGACCAACCAGAACCTGTCTGTGGATGTGGTGGACCAGTGCCTCGTCTGCCTCAAGGAGGAGTGGATGAAGTAAGTGGCAGTGTGGAGGCCCCTTTGCTTGCAGGCCGAGGATAAAACCCGGAGCCCGTCTCCAAAAGAGGAGCTGGGCCATGGCCACTGGGAGGTGCTGAGAGTGGAGGTTGGGGCCGGGGTACCAACACCAGGTCCAGCCTCTGCGGAGCTCAGGTGGCCTTGGGAAGTGGTTGTCATCTCTGACCGCTGCTTCTGTTTGGGGAGGTGGGGGTGGCACCTGCCTGGGAGAGCGGTTTCGGCTTGGGCGAGGGCCCCAAGCACGCGGGAGGGTTGGTAATGGAAGCTCTGTCATCTGCTGTGCAATTAACTTTAGAACCTGAAAGCCCAGTAACACCTGCCGACCCCCCACCCCGCCACTTTTTGTTTTTTAAGCAAGTTTACTTTATTTCCTCCTGCCTCAATTCTTGGTAATTTTTTCATCAAATTTATTAATCAAACGTCCTGATTTACAATCATGCAGTGAAGCCTAGGAGCATTCCCCGTCTTCAGTGAGTTTAAGGAAGGGTTTTCTTTCTTTCTTGGCATCTTAACAGCTTGAGGGAGGGTGTGGGAAGCACCCAGGCCTCAAACCCGACAGAGGGCCGAGCCCAACCCCAACAGTTTCCCTTCCTTTCGGGGCACAGCGCCTTCCAGCAGCTCAGGGGCCTGCTGCCTGGTGGGTGCAGATTCCAGCCCTGCCTGTGCAGCTCCTGCTAGTCCCAAAGCCACTGGCGGTGAGCAGGGCTCGGGAATTGTGCTGCGGTGTCTGAGTGTTTTGTTTTGGTTTCCTGTAGCAAAGTGAAGGTGCTTTTTAAGTTCACCAAGGTGGACAGTCGGCCTAAAGAGGACACGCAGAAGCTGCTGAGCATCCTGGGCGCCTCCGAGGAGGACAACGTCAAGCTTCTGAAGTTCTGGATGACTGGCCTGAGCAAGACCTACAAGTCACACCTCATGTCCACGGTCCGCAGTCCCACGGCCTCGGAGTCTCGGAGCTGACCTGCCACACACAGCCGCCTGAAGATGGGGGTGGCTGTCCACAGGCCCCTCCAGCCACGCACGAGGGACTGTCACGTGTTTCTGATTTGCTGGAAGGAGCTGTGTCCCAGCAAGGAATGGAAACTTGGGGCTGGGCTCGGCCCTCTGTCGGGTTTGGGGCCTGTGTGCTTCCCACACCCTTCCTTAAGCCACTGGAATCGCTGAAGAGGCACTGAAAGGCGTGGGGATGTTGGGCTCCCTTTCTTGGAATCCCTCGGAGAGATGCCTAGGACAGCTTACCCCTCAGGCCCCTTGTGGTCTTAGATTTCAAAACCCGACGGAGAAACAGGTCGGGTTGGTCCGACTCCGTATGCAGGCACAATGACATATCCGCTCTCGAGGTTAACATTCAAGCCTTTCCATTTGAAGTTCAGCACGTGTTTCTGGGCCTCGTGTTTGAGTGTACATTTTGCTGCAGTTGTGAATATTCAGTACATTGCCAGTCCTTGGTCACCGAGTCGTCGTTTTTTGAGTCAGGGCTCTGCAGGAGACTGAGGAGTGAAGTGGAGCTGTTCCTCATCTTCAAGTCCCCACAGATGTGTGTTCTGAAGTCATGGGGCTCATCATCTGGGGTGTTCCCCCTCAGGTGCTTGTGAAGGTAACCTGTGGCTTAACGATGGAGCCCCTGATCATTTTTGCACAAAGATGATAGGTTGCTGAGGTGTCAGAGCGAGCATCTGACTTGCCCAACCCCCTGGATATTCGAGGCCTACCATGCTTTTATTCTGTATCGCTTTTGCGCCTTTATTGCTGCTTTCAAAATTTACATTTGGCTACAGTTAACTATTTTCGGAGTGTGGTGATTGAAGACAATTTCATCATCCCACTGTACTTTTTTGTTTTTAAAGAGACAGCATCTTGCTATGTCATCCAGGCTGATCTCAAACTCCCAAGCTCAAGCAGTCCTCCTGCTTCCACCCACGGCTGTACAGGTGCCCCCCCCCGTACATTTTTAATAAGGATTCATAGCTTGGAGGGATTTTATGGCAGTTTTGCTGGTTTGTTTCTAGTTTTTTGTGTTTAATTTATACTTAACATGAAGATTAAGTTTATATAACTAGTTATCTGTATAACGCAACAACATTGGAACACAATAAATATGTATTTTTGTAAATGGTTGACTACATTTTTTTTTTTTAAGGTGGAGTTTCGCTCTTGTTACCCAGGCTGGAATGCAATGGCGCGATCTCGGCTCACCGCAACCTCCGCCTCCTGGGTTCAGGCAATTCTCCTGCCTCAACCTCCTGAGTAGCTGGGATTACAGGTGTGCGCCACCATGCCCAGCTCATTTTTTGTATTTTTAGTAGGGACGGGGTTTCACCGTGTTGACCAGGATGGTCTCGATCTCTTGACCTCGTGATCCACCCGCCTCGGCCTCCCAAAGTGCTAGGATTACAGGCTTGAGCCACCGCGCCTGGCCGACTACATGGTTTTATTGGTTTGATGCCTAATATTTACTTGCTCTCAGGCACAGGAAATACTATGGTTAAAATAAGAGCAGCGAGTGGCCAATTCATACATGTAAGCTTCTGCATTGATTGTAGACAGTCTTCTCAAAGTTAGTCTTTGGAGTTGGTGTGGGAGAGAAAACATTTATCCCAGGGACATCTGTTGAGTGTCTGTGCCCATGTACTTGGCATTTTTATTTTGAGACAGTCTCTGTGGCCCAGGCTGGAGTGCAGTGGCGTGATCTTGGCTCAGTGTAACCTCTGCCTCCCAGTTTCAAGCGATTCTGCTGCCTCAGCCTCCTGAGTAACCTGGACTACAGGTGTGTGCCACTGTACCTGGCTAATATTGTTGTATTTTTAGTAGAGACGGTGTTTCACCATGTTAGGAGATTGAAACTCCTGACCTCATGATCCGCTCACCTTGGCCTCCCAAAGTGCTGAGATTTGCAGGCGTGAGCCACTGCGCCCGGCTCTGCTTGGCATTTTGTTCAGCTTTAGGAAATGGCTCATCCCTTAATGATATTTAAAGGCATGTCCATCTGAGAGGAAGATGGCTGGAAGCACCCTGGGTGACCGTGGCAGTCCCCAAAACACGGTTCACGGTTGAGTCATCTACCTTGAGGTAGGGGAACCTCTTGACCTGTGTGAGTCAAGAGAAAGTGAGGAAAGAGATGGCTGCCCACCGTCCTCCCTAGCTTCAAGTAGATTTCTGTTTCCCTCGTGCATGGCATTCCTGGGAACGCAGTTCTGTGCTCAGTTTTTGCCAGTTGTCTGCCAGTCTAGTGGCTGAATCCACTTGGCAAGTAGGAGCCCAGCGAAAGTTAGCGCTGCATTCACTTCAGGAGCGTGTGCGACCTGGATTTCTCATGTCTAACAGCCTGCTGGCGAGGGGCAGGTACAGCCCTACACCGACTGGTGTTTCTAGGCAGCTGTGGGCTTTTTCTCCCTGAGAGCATGCAGTTCTTGAAGACTTTTCCTATTAGTTGTGATTGCAGAAGAGCCTTAGGCTGAGCTGAATCTGTGTCAGGCCAAGACGAGGCCATACTGCTCTCCTGGTGAGGGAACAGGGATTCCTGATTTTGTAGCTTTTCACACCAAGTGGAAGAGACAGAACACAAATTCCCAATCTCGAACCTTCCTCGTGTGTTTGAAGGTAGTCAAGGGTTTCCTGATTTTACATTCAAGATACCCTCAGGGCTGGGCACAGTGGCTCATGCCTGTAATTCCAGCACTTCAGGAGGCCAAGGAAAGTGGATCACTTGAAGCCAGGAGTTCGAGACCAGCCTGGCCAGCATGGTGAAACCATCTCTACTAAAAATACAAAAAAAAAAAAAAAAAGCTGGGCTGGTAGTGTACGCCGGTAGTCCCAGCTACTCAGGAGGAGACTGAGACAGGAGAATAGCTTGAACCCGGAAGGAGGAGGTTGCACTCCAGCCTGGATGATAGAGCGAGACTCTGTCTCCAAAAAAAAAAAAAAAAAGATATTTACACTCAGTTTTCTTTTCAAGGGAAATGGGTCATCTTACAGATTCCAGGAACAGGCTTTCTGAAGCATTTGTTCAGCTTATTGGGCAGTTACCCAAGCATGTTCCCTAAATTCCTCCTTTTTTTTTTTTTTTTTTTTTTGAGAATTTTGCTCTTGTTACCCAGGCTGGAGTATAGTGGCACGATCTCAGGCTCACTGCAACCTCTGTCTCCTGGTTCAAGCAATTCTCCTGCCTCAGCCTCCTGAGTAGCTGAGACTACAGGCAACTGCCACCACACCCAGCTAATTTTTCTATTTTCATTAGAGAGAGGGTTTCACCATACTGGCCAGGCTGGTCTCAAACTCCTGACCTCAGGTGATCCACTCGCCTCAGCTTCCCAAAGTGCTGGGATTTCAGGCCTGAGTCACTGTCCCTGGCCAGCTTTAGTTTTAGTTTCTTTTTTTTTTTTTTTTTAAATAATCATCCTAATAAATGTGAAGTGATACCTCCTGTTGCTTTGATTGCATTTCTCTGACGATTTATGACATTGAGCTTTTAAAATATACCTGTTGACCATTTTCATGTCTTTGGGAAAATGTCTATTCATGTCTTTAGTCCATTTTTAAAAAATTAGGTTATCAGTCAGAGGAGCTGCTTACATATTTTGGAAATTAACCCCTTCTCTGATAATATAATTTGTATAACCTTTTAAGAAATAAATTGTAGGCTGGGCGCAGTGGCTGAAGCCTGTAATCCCAGCACTTTGGGAGGCTGAGGCAGGCGGATTACGAGGTCAAGAGATCGAGACCATCCTGGTCAACATGGTGAAACCCCGTCTATACTAAAAATACAAAAAAAATTAGCTGGGCATGGTGGTGTGTGCCTGTAATACAGCTACTCAGGAGGCTGAGGCAGGAGAATTGCCTGAACCCAGGAGGCGGAGGTTGTGGTGAGCCGAGATTGCGCCATTGCACTCCAGCCTGGGTAACAAGAGCGAAACTGCGTCTCAAAAAAAATAAATAAAAAGAAATTGTAGGCCGGGCGTGGTGGCTCAAGCCTGTAATCCCAGCACTTTGGGAGGCCGAGGCGGGTGGATCACTGAGGTCGAGAGATCGAGACCATCCTGGTCAACATGGTGAAAACCCGTCTCTACTAAAAACACAAAAAAGTAGCTGGGCATGGTGGCGCTTGCCTGTAATCCCAGCTAGTCAGGAGGCTGAGGCAGGAGAACTGCTTGAACCCAGGAGGCGGAGGTTGCGGTGAGCCGAGACCGCGCCATTGCACTCCAGCCTGGGTAACAAGAGCGAAACTCCGTCTCAAAAAAAAAAAAAAAAGAAATTGTATTGTGTATATTTAAGGTACACAACATGATGTTATGAGTTACATATACACACATATACTAAAATGGTTTTAGAGCCGGGCACAGTGGCTCACACCTGTAATCCCAGCACTTTGGGAGGCCAAGTCGGGCAGATCACGAGGTCAGGAGGTCAAGACCATTCTGGCTAACACGTGAAACCCCTTCTCTACTAAAAAATTTTTAGAAAGTAGTAGGGTATGGTGGTGCGTGCCTGTAGTCCCAGCTACTCAGGAGGCTGAGGCAGGAGACTTGGAACCGGGAGGCGGAGGTTGCAGTGACGGGAGATCGCACCATTGCAGTCCAGCCTGGAAACAGCGAGACTCCTCAAAAAAAAAAAAAAAAAAAAAGAATTTTATTGATGTAATTGCTGACAGAATAAATTTTACTTATTTAAGCCATATGACTTGGACATGTGTATCCCCATGAAACCACCAGTTAAGCTGAGAAACACCCAGCACTCCACTTCCCTGTGGCTTCATCGGCCCTCCAGGCAACACTGGTCTGCTTTCCTCAGTCTAGTTTGTATTTCCTAGAATTTTCTGTAAATGGAATCATACAGTATGTATTCTTTTTGTCTGGCTTTTTCCACCCAGCTTTGTTGAAATTCATCCATGTTGTAGCATATATGAGTACTTGTTTTTTTGTTGTTGTTTTTTTGTTTTTGTTGAGACAGGGTCTTGTGTCACCCAGGCTGGAGTGCAATGGCACGATCCCCGGTCACTGCAACCTCAGTCTCCCAAGCTCAAGCAATTCTCCCACCTCAGCCTCCTGAGTAGCTGTGGTTACAGGGACATGCCACCACACCCAGCTAATTTTCGTATATTTTGGTAGAGACAGTGTTTCACCATGTTGGCCAGGCTGGTTTCAAATTCCTGAACTCGGCCGGGCGCGGTGGCTCAAGCCTGTAATTCCAGCACTTTGGGAGGCCGAGGCGGGTGGATCACGAGATCAAGAGATCGAGACCATCCTGGTCAACATAGTGAAACCCCGTCTCTACTAAAAATACAAAAAATTAGCTAGGCATGGTGGCACGTGCTTGTAATCCCAGCTACTCAGGAGGCTGAGGCAGGAGAATTGCCTGAACCCAGGGGGTGGAGGTTGCGGTGAGCCGAGATCGCGCCATTGCACTCCAGCCTGGGTAACAGGAGCAAAACTCCGTCTCAAAAAAAAAAAAAAAAAAAAAAAAATTCCTGAACTCAAGCTATCCTCCTATCTCAGCCTCCCAAAGTTCTGGGATTACAGGGTGTGAGCCACTGTGCCCGGCCACTTCATTCTATTTTATTGCTAAATAGCATTCCCTTGTATAGATATACAAAAGTTTGCTCACCTGTTTACCTGCTGACAAATGTTTGTTTCCAGGTGTGGGTTATTGCACGTATGCCTGCCGTGAACCTGCCGTGAACACTGATGTACACATGCTTGTGTGAATGGATCCATCCTTTCTCCTGGGAGTGGGATACCTGGATCATATGGAAGGTGCATGTTTAATATTTTAATACTTTTTTTTTTTTTTTTGAGACGGAGTTTCGCTCTTGTTACCCAGGCTGGAGTGCAATGGCGCGATCTCGGCTCACAGCAACCTCCGCCTCCTGGGCTCAGGCAATTCTCCTGCCTCAGCCTCCTGAGTAGCTGGGATTACAGGCACGCGCCACCATGCCCAGCTAATTTTTTGTATTTTTAGTAGAGACGGGGTTTTACTATGTTGACCGGGATGGTCTCGATCTCTCGACCTCGTGATACACCCGCCTTGGCCTCCCAAAGTGCTGGGATTACAGGCTTGAGCCACTGCGCCCGGCTACATTTTTAATTTAGAATAATTTTAGATTTTCAGAAAAGTTTCGAAGATAGAAGAGTTCCATTTACTCCCATCCAGCTTCCTTTATTGTTAGCCTTTTACACTCCTTTCACACATTTGTCAAAGCTAAGAAACTGACATTGGTACAAAGCGATTAAGCTCCAGACTTTATTTGGATTGCACCAGGTTTTCTGTGAATGCCTTCTTTCTGTTCCAGGATCCAGCCCAGAACACCATATTGCCCCGTTTTCCCTTTGTCCCCGGCTCAGTGCCCACTAAGCCCTCAGCCGCCTTAGTCTCCCCTCCGTTTATGCTTAAAGCAGGGCAGCCTCCTTCTAACAACGCTGGAGATCCAGTTGGGTGTGGGTAACACCCCCCAGGGGCACCGAGGAAGGAGAACTGTGCAGACCCCAGGCACAATTAGTGCCTGAAGTATAACTCACTGCTTACTTATATCTAGCTTATATATAAAATCATACTAGGTCCCGTATGATCTTTCTATATAATCATATAACTTACTGCTTACTATATGTAGCTTAAATATATATAAAATCATACTTAGTTCCATATAATCTTTCTATATAATCATATAGGTATTGCAGTCGGAGCTGTACTGACACATTTAGTGCTGATTTATAGAATCCTCTGCATAACCACATAGTAGTTTGTAGTAGGAGGAATGCCTAGAGCAGTCACAGAACAGAAGCAGTACATGGGAAAACAGCCAGACCAGGACAAGAACTGAAGACGCACGCAGTGGCGTCCCTGCCTGAAAGGGCATAAGACGTATGGCAGGCTTGGCGCAAGAGCCTCTCCTCCTGAAAAAGGAGTGGTAGTACCTTGCATCCAGTTCCTGTGGAAAGTAGGCCTCAGGCCTGAGAGCCTGCAAATAACCGAGGGAGAAGAACCCCTCAGGTGTGACCAGTCTCGGAGGCTGTACACCCTGTCAGTCTTTTCTCGCTTCTGTGCTAGCTCAAATCATCCTCCTATAAATAAGAGCACAAGTCTGTCAGCTCCCACTGCATTGGCTTGGAGTAACCTTCTATTAGAAATCCTTTGACATCTCCGGCCCCCAGATAAGAAGTGTTGTGCAGGACACCTATTGCACACAGCCCACCTTTTTGCCTCGGTGAGGGGTGGACCCCTTTTCTGTACACGACCCTCTACTCCCTAATGCACACAGCCCATCTCTCTGCCCAGGTGACATAATGGTGTGGCCCCCTCACTTGTGACTCATGTAATTATGTATGCCCTATCACTAAGCCTATAGATGATGACGTCGCTTACGACCCTTCCCCCTGCTTGTACCTAAAAAATACAGACGCTTCTGGGCGTTGGGGCCTCGCCCGTCTCTGCTCATAGGTGGCATGCCCCCACCCCTAGCCCAGCTGCTCTTCTCCAGTTCTCCAGTGTCCTGTCTCTTTACTTCTCAGATCCTGCACCTCACTCAGCACAGCATAAGGGCCACCCCACAACCCTGTCGGGCCAACAGCCCTACAGTTGGGCTGGAAAAAAAAAAACCTATAGGGGCCTAACTCTGGGCTTAGGCATCCCCACTACCCCACCGCCTCCAGCAGGCTGGGTTCCAGTGCTGCCTCCAGCTGTGTGGATTCCCCGATATCTGTGTTTCCAGGTCCCTCCCCAGCCCGAGGGGACAGTGAAGGTGTCCACATTTCCCGAACAGCTCTGCTGTGCTCCACACGAGGAAAGCCGGGGTTGCTGAGGCTTCCGGGTCCGCGGGCGGTCTCTGGCCTGGGCAGGTGAGTGGTGCAGCGAGGGCCCGTGGCCCGCAAGCGTGCATGAGGTGCCGGGGGACGGCGGGTTTGGGGGCGCGGCTTGGTGCAATAGTGGGAGGTGGGACCTGGGGGGCGTAGCCGAGGGCCTGGCTGGAGGGGGGAGTAGGGGGCGCGGCCTGGTGTTGGCAGCGTGTGGGGGGGAGGGGACAGTGGTCTGGCGTGTGAGGGAGGTGTGGCCACCCCTTGGGGACTACGGACGGACTGGTGGGGGGGGATGGGCTCAGCTTGGTGAGTGTCAGTTGTCGGGGAATGGCGCGGCCTGGCACCTGTACTTAGGGGCCTGGGGGCGTGGCCTGGCACTTGGCGGTTGTTGGCGCGTGACGGGGGCGTGGCCTGGCACGGCCCTCGGGGGCTGGGGGCGTGGCTTTGCTCAAGGCTGTTGGCGGCGCGTGGCGGGGGCGTGGTCTGGCGCCTGGTGGTCTAGGGCTGGGGGCGCGCAGGCTGGCCAGCCAGGGCAGCGGCATGAAGCGGTTGCGCTGGCAGGTGGCGGCTGCGGCGGCCGTGGGCCTGGCGCTGGCCCTGGAGGTGCTACCCTGGGTGCTGCGCTGGCTGCGGTCCGGGCGGCGGCGGCTGCGGCGCGAGGTGCTGTTCTTCCCGTCGCAGGTGACCTGCACTGAGGCTCTGCTGAGGGCGCGGGGCGAGGCGCCCGCCGGGGAGCAGGCCGCGCTTCCTGACTGCTGCCTGTGCGGCCTGCCTCACGGCGAGAGCTCGCTGAGCCGCCTAATGCGCGCCCTGCTGGCCGCCCGCGTCAGCCTGGAGCTCTGCCTGTTCGCCTTCTCCAGCCCCCAGCTGGGCCGCGCCGTCCGGCTACTGCACCAGCGCGGGGTGCGAGTGCGGGTGGTCACCGACTGCGACTACATGGCCCTCAACGGCTCACAGATCGGCCTGCTGCGCAAGGCAGGTAGGCCCGGCCCGGCGGGGGCGCAGGTGGACACTTAGGGGAGGGGGTCCGGGGTCGGCCTGAGACCTCATTTGCTTTTCCTCGTGGCCATGGTGGGGTCGGGGTGGTTTAACGCGGAGAAAGCGGAGCCCCCTCAGATGGCCTAGCCGGCTGCGCGGGCGGAAGCGAGCAGGGCCCTTGGTTGTCTCCGCGGCGGGGGTGGTTCTCCCAGTGACTACCGCGCTGGAAGCAGGTGCCCGCGTGTGCCGGCTTAGAGGCGGGGCGGGCTCCCCCAGGAACTCCCCGCCCTACCAGCGGAGGAGTTTCCGTGACTGCTGCATCCCGACCCGCCCTCCCGCAGGCTGTCGGAGACCCCCGGACGGCCTCTGGTGACCCGGATCCTGCTGGCAGGGAAGCTGGACGCCAGGGTTGTGCTGGGACTTCCATACTAAAGGGCTCCAGGGAGAGGCGGCCACCTGCTGCTGAGCAAACCTCAGGCCACCAGGCTTTGGGAGACCTAAAGATGTGTTCTAGAAGGCAGCACCAGGACGTCCGGTGGTTTTCTCAGCTGCATAAGGAGGGGGAACACATATCTCTCTGGCGGGGGTGCCTCTCTCACGGGGTTGACAGAGAGAACAGGAAATGTGAATAATTGGGATCCTTGTCCTGCCTGAGGATTCTCAGGCCATCCTGGCCCAGTTCGGTGGCCCAGCCTGCTGTTGCCTTTGGTGTATTTGCACCCACAGGCTCTTGGGCTTCTCTGTCTCCATCACTCAGGTACCCAGAAAGTCACACCTGCACATGCAACCGTTGGATCTGGTAATTCTGGTCACAGTGACTGAGAGACCGTGGAGTCCTGGGAACTGTCCAGCTGGGCAGTGGCCACCAACGCACTGTTCCTTCTGCATAGCCGCGGCCTCTTGCTGACTTGGGCCGCAGCCAGCCTCCCTCTCCGTTCTGGGTGGTGTGGGGCGTGTTGCACCCCGCGTAGGAACAGAGTGGGGTGAGAGGTTTTCATATTGAGGATGTGCCTTTCTCTTTTGGCAGTCACAATAGTTGCCCTCTCAAGTGTTGGTCTTTTTAACGGGGGAGGTGTGGGGACCTCCAGGCGTGCACAGCAGTTCTGTTTGAGTTGCTTTTAGAAGTTGTAGAAGCTGAGGTTTGTGAAGAACTTTCAAGAACCCCTAGACCAAGGTCCCATCCGATCCCCTCTGTGCTTGGCCTCTCAGTGTCCTTGCTGACTTTGAGGCTGTCCAGTGGCATTCACCCATTCAAGGAAGGAATGTCCCCCAGGAGCTGGGACACCCTAGGGCACAAGGCCAGGTTCCCATGGGGATACCAGCTAAGTCACGCATATTTCATTTAGGGCAATAAGAAGGGTCAGGAAAACTTCATAAAGCAGGGTGAGAAGGCAGTGGTGTGGGAGGAAGTGGTGTAGGCCAGGTCAGCTGCCCAGGGGCAGTGACACTCAGGGCAGGGACCTTGATGACACAAGTGGGCTGTCCGGAGGGAGAGGCATGCGGCTGGAAGGGGCAGCAGCACAGACACCCTGGGCCACAGACTGGCTTCCTTGTGAGGAGCCGCAGAGGTCCTCTGTGGCTGACCATGGGAAGTGGTGAGCGCGCGTAGGCCGGGCTTCCCCCGAGAGGCCAGAGGTGGCAGGCCTGGGGAGGGGCTGGTGGTTGGGGCAGTAGATCCCGGTGGAGGCAGGAGGTGTCGGCAGTGGTGAGGCTTTAGATTGCCCACCGTTTGCATGGCAGCACCGACAGGGCCTGCTGGTGGAGTGGCCAGAGCATGAGGAGAAGGGTTGGATCCCCCAGGTGAGGAAGCCACCAGGCGCAATGCGGGACGCACAATTAAATGTGGATTCCACACGCAGGGAGTGAGTTTTAGGGTATGTTCCCAGTACTCCATGGCACATACTTCCCTTCAAAAATGACTATCTGAAACTCCATTTAACTCGATGTCCTGTATTTTGATGTGGAAAAATCTGGCAACTGTGTTGCGTGGCAGCCTGTTTAAAACTTTTAAGCCCCATTTCTAATGGCCTCATTCCTTGAGCAAGTCGTGAGTGAGGCAGTGTTATTCCAGGGGAGAGAGACACAGGCCCTTCCCCGCAGGAATTTGAAAGCTGGTAAGAGGGGAGGTGGACATCACTGGTTTTTGGTGAAGGAAGCAGGGAGTGCGGAAGAGGAGAATTCGTTTGTGCGTCAGTTAGTTAGGGCCCTTCCTCCCTTGGTGGCCAAGGCTGTACCAGTGAAGTGGGCTCTGCTCCCAGACTCCCGGGCCTCTCTGGACAGAGTGGGCACAGTCTCAGCCTTAGCTGTGGAAGAGTCAGACTCTGAAGGCAAGGAGACCCACACGCTGTCTTTGCCCAGGTTGCCTCTGACTGGGTTAGTGACAGCCTCGGCAGCAACCAGTAGCCCCGAAGGGACATGCTACATAGACTCAGAGGTGTGGTCTCACTCAGACCACAGCCTTCCCAGTCCCCCATGGCCTGTGTGTGATGCTCTGGCCCCATGAGTGATGTCCCCTCTGTGGTTCTCAGGATCCCTCCTGGGAGCTTAGCCGCCACCACTCTGTGAAACATGGTGGGCTTTCCTGGCCCAGCAAACTGGAAATAAATAGTAAAGCCATTTGCCCCCAGGAATAATCCACACTGGAGGCGGGACTCCGGAATGGGATGCAAGCACCTTGTCCCTTCCACAGGTATCCAGGTCCGGCACGATCAAGACCTGGGCTACATGCATCACAAGTTCGCAGGTCGTGGACAGGAGGGTGCTCATCACTGGCTCGCTCAACTGGACCACACAGGCCATCCAGAACAACAGGGAGAACGTGCTCATCATGGAGGACGACGAGTACGTGCGGCTTTTTCTGGAAGAATTTGAGCGCATCTGGGAAGAGTTTGACCCTACGAAGTATACTTTTTTCCCACAAAAGAAGAAAAGTCACTGAAGCTGTGCCCCACTTGTCTCCAGAGCTGGAGGGGGATCACTTTCATGGTACAGAACTCTTGGCACCTCCAGCCGAAACCAGACCTAACCAAGAAGGGGACTGTGCCCTCCCTTTGCTCTAGTGCCGTTCACACGCAGCACTGGGGCAAAAGGCCTGGTGCAGAGACCTCAGCACTAGAAAAACATTGTTAAACTCCTGGCCATTAGAATACTAAATTGAACTAAAGGTTAGGGAAGGGAATGTCTGTTATTTCAGGTCAGTTATTTTGGGCGAGACCTTTTTTTTTTTTTTTTTTTTTTTTTGCCCCTCTGCCAAAATAACTTCAGTCACAACCTGCCACAGGGGTGCTTTCAGGAGTGTGGTCTTTATCTTGGTTTGGAATCGAAGCTTCTGCCACAGTACAGAAAAGGCACAGTGCCTCCTCCAGGTTGGTCCCATTCCCTTCCCTGATTCTAGAAAATCTCTGCTTTGCCTGACTTGGCCCTTTTTATGTCTCTGTGAGAGTTCTTCCATCTCTCTATGTGGCATGCTGGGGATTGGCTGGGGCCAACAGTCTTCTTGTCCCTCACAGTCTGTCCCTGTCCGGTCTCTGTCATCAGAGTGGGGAGAGGAAGGGAAGAGCTGAGCGTGCAGTGGGGGTGGCAGGCAGCCTTCGGAACAACCCTGTGAGCGTCATTGCCACCAAAGGCTGGCTGTTCCCTTGCTTCCTTGCATAATTTCTCTTTATAACCAGTATGCATGCCAGTGCCAAGCTCTGCAGCCAGCCTGTCCTTGGGTAGTAAGTGCAGTGGTCTGTCAGGACCGATGGCCAGCAGCTGCTTCTGTTGCCAAGGTGGGCTTTTAACTTTTTTTTTTTTTTTTTGAGATGGAGTCTGGCTCTGTGGCCCAGGCTGGAGTGCAGTGGTGTAACCTTGGCTCACTGCAACCTTTGCCTCCCAGGTTCAAGTGATTCTCCTGCCTCAGCCTCCTGAGTAGTGGGGATTACAGGCACCCGCCACTATGCCCAGCTAATTTTCTTTTTTTTCTTATTTTAGTAGAGATGGGGTTTCACCATGTTGGCCAGGCTGGTCTTGAACTCCTGACCTCAAGTGATCCACCCACCTCGACTTCCCAAAGTGCTGAGATTATAGGCGTGAGCAACCATGCTAGTCGGGCTTTGAACTTTTAATATCCTTATGTTTAAGGTAATTTTGTTGTGTGTTTAGAAGTGACCTTACCTTTAACACCTGTGGACTTAGTGTGTGCACATTGCGGGCTCAGCATAACCCATCATGGGACCAGAGGAGAGGAGAGGAGAGAGCAGCTTCAGGCTATGGTGTCTCCCGTATCTGTGCTCTTATTTGCAGCTCAGGGTTTGCATTCACAGGTAGAACAGGTGTCGTACACTGTGAAATGTTTTAGGTTATTTGTTTATAATTTGTATGTCATACATAGATAGCTCCAATGACATCTGAATTTGTGACTTCACCATCTTGTCATGATGCGCCCCAGGTCCCGTCCGGAGGTCTGCCGGCTGTGTGTGTGGTCTCACCTCCCTGGCTCATGCTGACACTACCATCCAGAGACCCTCCAGTACTGTGTGTTTTTCCTTTTTAAAGTTACCTTTCAACAACAACAAAAACAAAAAAAGTTACCTTTGACTCACAATGTTAGGCAAGTCAGCTTGAAGTTAATTTTTTTAAAAATTCAATTGAAGCTGTGAAGTATAATATACAGATTGGAAGTCACCAGAAATTGTTTTAGTTTGTGAATTCCCACGGTGTATGTTCTGAGAAGAAAACGGGAGAATGTAGCATCTCCTGACTGCGAAGCCACGAGGCCCTGGACTTCTGGCACATCTCAATAAACATGTTCTTACTCTGGAATGTGAGCGCTGTGTTTCTTTGCCTTCGCCTGCTGCTAAGTCATTCAAATTGGGGCTACTCTTTGTTAAATACTTTTTTGGGGGGCAGTATACAGCTATTTACAAACTGTTAGTCAAAGAACAGGAGACTCAAAAAGGAGTAAAACTTTAAGATGTTACTTGGGTGAAGAAAATAATGTATACAGTGGTCCATTTCCAAGACAAGCTGCCTTGAATCATCTTAGGTCAGCAAACCACGGAACAAACTATGTACTAGGCCCCTCCGGACAGCTGACGCCTGTTGTCGGCTTCCCCTGCGCCCCCTTCCCCTTCCTTAGTTGCCTTCACCTGAACCAACAGAGTTTAGTCTAAAATGAATTACTAGCCTGCAAAATAGCTCGCTTTGTCCATTCTTACCAGCCGGCCTGGCTACTCAGGTGTTGTCAAATACTTGAAGAGCCCTAAGCTAAGGTTGCAATGCAACAAAATGCAGCAAGACAACCAAAAAACAAAAAACACCCCAAGTCTCTACTTAACAATCAGTAAGCAACGTCTGAGAAGACTGCTTCATAGTACTCAAGCCTTAGAGGACGGAGGAACCTGCACACTAGTGGGTAAATGGCTTGCTGAAACTGCTGGGTGTGCCCGCTCATCAGACACCCGATCTCAAAAGATTATTAAAAGCCTCACTTTCACTGTTCTCCAGGTCTTTGAGTCCATTCTTTGGTTTGGAGGGGTGAGTTTGTTTCTCACATTGGGTGCCTCCTAGGTTAAAATATTTCCCAAAATGTCCAGGTGCTGTCTCTAGACTAGGAGTTGGAGCGAGGCTCAACCCCTGCTGTTGCCCTGACTTGTGTGACATGCACCCTGCCACCTGGGGACCTGCCCCACGCCCAGCACAGGTGAGGAGGTATTCCAGTGGCATCCGTGGGTGAATGCATACAAAGTAACCTGCCCAAGCTGTCAACAGGAATGTTTTAAGAAATGTGGAATTGCCAGGAGCGGTGGCTCACACCTGTAATCCCAGCACTTTGGGAGGCCAAGATGGGCGGATCACCTGGGGTCGGGAGTTTGAGACCGGCCTGTCCAACATGGAGAAACCTGTCTCTACTAAAAATACAAAATTAGCCAGGCATGGTGGCGCATGGGATGAGTGGAGATCGTGCCATTGCACTCCAGCCTGGGTAACAAGAGTGAAACTCCATCTGAAAAAAAAAAAAAGTGAAATTATTTAATATATTTAATACTTCTTAATTATTTTTATCTTAGCAGCAGAGGGAAATTGAATCTCACAAAAAGTTTCAGATACGAGTTAGCCTTTCTTTTTTCTGAGACTGGGTTTCACTCTGTTGCCCAGGTTGGAGTGCAGTGGCACGATCATGGCTCACTGCAGCCTCAACCTCCCAGGGTCAAGAGATTCTCCTGCTTCAGCCTCCTAAGCAGCTGGGACTACAGGTGCAAGCCACCACACCTGTCTAATTTTTAAACTTTTTGTAGAGATGAGGGTCACATGTCCAGTCTAGTCTTGAACACCTGGGCTCAGGTGATCTTCCTGCCTCAGCCTCCCAAAGTATTGGGATTATAGGTGAGTCACCACACCCACCCCAGTTAGCCTTCTGAAAAGAACTTAAGCTAAAGTGAGATGTCCCTGGAGGGAAGTGGGTCTGAGGAAATTCGGTGCTAAAATCTTCCTCAAAAGTGGAGGCTGTTTTCTGCCCTGCTGCCCCCACCATGGGTATAGAAGATCCTTGGGCCGCACACAAAGATTGCTGTGCCAGTAGCAGGCAGGCACGCCCAGGTGACCCTAGAACTGCAGGCCAGCTTCGGCTCCAACACCTGAGGCGAGTGATGCTAGAAGGCGGGGGTTCACCGAAGATGAGGGCTGTGTAGTGTGTCACCTGAAGACTCTTTTTGCCTGCAAGATTGTCTTGCTGCCTCCTAGAGAGAAACTTTAAAAGAATAAAAGAAGTAATAGCACCTGTAATCCCAGCACTTTTGGAGGCCAAGGCAGGCAGATCATGAGGTCAGGAGTTTGAGACTAGCCTGATCAACATTGTTAAACTTTGTCTCTACTAAAAATATAAAAATTAGCCAGTCATGGTGGCACGTGCCTGTAATCCCAGCTACTTGGGAGGCTGAGGCAGGAGGATTGCTTGAACCCAGGAGGTGGAGGTTGCAGTGAGCCAAGATCGCGCCACTGCACTCCAGCCTGGGGGACAGAGCAAGACTCCATCTAAAAAAAAAAGCCAGCCAGGCACAGTGGCTCATGCCTGTAATCCCAGCACTTTGGGAGGCTGAGACAGGTGGATCACGAAGTCAGGAGTTCAAGACCAGCCTGCCCCATCTCTACTAAAAACTACAAAAATTAGCTGGGTGCAGTGACAGGTGCCTGTAATCCCAGCTACTTGGGAGGCTGAGGCAGGAGAATCGCTTGAACCCAGGAGGCAGAGGTTGCAGTGAGCCAAGATTGTGCTACTTGCACTCCAGCCTGGGTGACAGAGTGAGACTGTCTCACAACAACAACAGAAATAATAAATTTCCTGAGTAGGCTCAACAGTCACAAGAGAGGCTCTAGGAGGTTTTTCCTCTAACAGCCCTCTTCTCCTGGGATGGGCTCTCATCAGCTTAGTGGTTTGGATTCAATGTTGTTATTTAACTATATGGGCAGTGATACAGCTTGAGAACAAAATGTGAGATACATGTTAAACATTAGCACAGTTAAATTTAAAATACTTTAAACTCTTACAACATGTGATTTTAAAAATTGTGATGGCATCTGTATGGGCATGGTGGCTCACACCTGTAATCCCAGCACTTTGGGAGGCCAAGGCAGGTGGATCATTTGAGGTCAGCAGTTTGAGACCAGCCTGCACAACCTGGCAAAACTCTGTCCCTACTAAAAATACAAAAATTAGCCAGGTGTGCTGGTGTGTACCTGTAATCCCAGCTACCCACCTGGGCATGGTGGTGCACACCT